AAATAAACTGTAACGATCACTAAAGTTGACGGTAAAGGAAGATCATAAGTAAGTTTAATTGTTTCTTAGAATGCATAGCGATTTCATAGTTTCTATCCCGACCGGCTCTCTTTTAGAGGACCTGATATTTCCTGGATTTTCTGCTATAATTGGCTTTGTACCCTTTCAATACATTTTCAATGGTATCTATGTATTATGTTTTGTATTTTTTTTTTTTTTTTGTCATATTTTGTCATTGTTTCATCCTTACCTCAGTATTATATAGTTACTTTGCCAGGTAAAGAATATATTATAGCAATCCAAATAAATGTATTTAACATTCTCAAAATGACAACCGGGATATGTTAAACTCAATGGCATCGAACGCATCGAACTCCTTTTCGCCAAAGAAAATCAAACAATATTTATGTTATATTCATGGCAGCCTAAGAAAACGGTCTATGTAATATTACACTGACGACATACGCAAGGATAACAGGCCAGTTATGTCATAAAAATGTATTGCTGATATAGGTCAAGTTACATTATAAATCATAAATCCAACTGCAGTTAGTGAAACTCAATATATAAAACAACCGTGTGATTATATCTACTACATCTGTCTATACCAAAGATAAATACCTACCAGTTCTGTATAACTAAGGGGTCGTGACAGCTCGGTCGCTAAGCGGGTAAACCAACGAAACCTCGGGTCAAGATCCGAGGTGCGTGCTTCGGTGTCCGTACCCGTGGCGGTTTGTTAGGAAGCTTAGAACCGCCTGTTTTGAAGTGGTTGTCCTTTAGCAAGACACTTTACCCCAATTGCTCTGTGCAACGGGCCTTCTGTAAGTTATTCACTGAGGTAACCACCAGCTACGTACAACGCAAAATGACCCTGGTTGTTCACGGGTTAATATAATTAATCAAATAGTTCACGGGAAAGTTAGCAGAATTCGACATCGATATCGATTTTACCATTATAATAAGCTATGTAAATTACACTCACACCTTCGACTTTCGACTTATCAAGTCCCCCTGTTACTCAATATTCATGACGATGGTCCTCAGTCCCGGCAGGAACATGTCCAGTCAGTGTGTGGTATCCCCTGCAGCTCACAGGAATATCGGCCAAGTTCGTAATGAGTCTAAAAGTCTTATTACTTACCATAATGTTTAAGTACCTTTAGTATGAAACAGCATTGTAAAACAAATAAACCATCTAATGAGCCAGGATCAAATTAGTCCATTGCACGTGTAGTCTAGCACGTGCTTGCACTCAACTACACTGCAGTAGCATGGAAACACATGCACACTGCATTATACGTAAGTGCAACCAGCATTGCATCCCCTCGCCCCTCCCCTTTCTCTCTTACTGTGAAGGACAAACCATGAGCACACAAACTAAAGACCATCTGAAATACATAAGGTCAGGACAAAAAGGAGGGCTAAGATTGCATTGGTGTATATTCAGCGATAACTAGGCAGAGATTCATTGTAGTCAAAGATATCAATATTTAACTTTAACAAGCCAAGCAAGGAACCATGTTGTTGTTGCTTTTATTATTTGTTCTTATAATTTGTTTTGAATAAAATACTAAAATGTTGAGTTGAAGTCAAATATTGTTAACGTTAAACCCAATCAAACACAAGAACCATTGTTTAATCCTGTTCACCATGGTTAACTCCCCTGATCATATTCCAGGCATTATTCATGTTGAAATGTCCATATCGTGTTCTGTCCATCGATTGTTAGACTGATTTAGTGTTGTTAGTAATTATGAAGTATGTGCATTCACAAAAAAATATTTGTGTTGATATCAAACTAAATTGTAAACATCGTTATTTTAGAAATAATGAGTTAATCTTAAGATTTTGGTTTAATTTAGAACTCTTAAAAAATTGTAGTTAAAATGGAAAATGTGGAGCAACCCAACATCATCGAAAAGATCAAAGAAACCTATTCTAAACTTTTAATAATGCTTTTACATAATGATTATCTGAGTGGTAAAGCAACTTGCTGAAGTGTCATATAGTATACAGTAATGGTTCCAGCCTGTTCGTCAGGGGAAAATGATCGTTACACTTCACAAGATGTCTGTCGTTACCGTTTACTTTTATATTTTCATACAGATGATGTTTAATCTTTATGACTTTGTCCTTGAAAATGAACACCTTCAGTAACTTCATAACGTCAAGGACGAGTCTGACACGAGCGATGGCATACTAATAACGGGAGCCGACTCCGGGCTGAGATTTACGCACTCTTGGCACGGTGCGCACACTGCTGTCTTACCCGGCGAATTTGCAGACGCTATATAACCAGATTGATTACATGCGTAACAATATTTAATTATTGCGCTAATCCACCCACCAGACGGAACACTGAATGGTTTACGCATCTTGTCTGACTCAAACAACATCAATGATAAAGAGATCTCGAATTTATGGCAAGCCAGTTGGCGCCTTATTTTATATACAAAACGGAAGTGCATGTACGCGAGGTATCATTTATATTACATAAATATATGCCATATACTTAGCTATTTTATATATATATCATTCTGTATCTTGTAAATAGAACACATCCCAGCGTTTGATGAAACACAAGACCGCTCACTGAATCAATGTCAAGTTGACTTTCCATACAAATTACGTTATTTCTAAGTGACGATGATGATACTTTGACCCTGAACGTGTACAAGATCCGCGTGCGTATTCGTGTGTATTCGTGCGTCAGAATAAATGTAAACTTCTTTCTGTGTAGTGTTCGGTTATCTACTCATCTGTAATACAGTTGTGTATAGTGTATACATTGGTTATTGGATTACTGTCTGATGTATTATAGGGATCGAGATAGCGAAGTCGGATACAGCGTTGGCCATGTACTCTCGGGTGAAGAAATAAATTCAAAATTAATTTGACGCTCCCTACTCGTAGCGGATTGTTTTTTCAGGAAGTTAAGTAACGGACCCGTCTCCGCTGTCGTGTCTTTCGGCAAGACTCTTCACTCCACTTGCTCTTGACGGCATGCGACGGACCCCCGTATGTTGTTCAAAGAGGTAGCCACAAGCTACCTTAAGGAGATACCATTGATACCAGATGTTCACGAATAAGTTGTATTGATTTCTGTAAGAAAACTGATAATTAATAACCAATTCTCTGAGGATTGAAAGTTCCATTATTTTCAAACAAAACACAATTTCCTTCTGTAACCATTAATAGTCTATTAAATTACTTCCAAATTTTGTCTCAAGGTATTTTTTTACTTTCCTTTGAAAAAAACCCCGCAGATTTGAGCAGATTTGAGGTTTAATATCCCACGTTACCATCGTCATTGGTTTATTGAATCCTACTCGTTAATAATAATTTCACAACGTAAACTATTCTCCTCACATTATTTTTTTCTTTTTCGTTGTTAATTTCGAAGTAGAAAACAGAACCAAATTTATATACCAATACTTGTATTTTCGACCTTACATTGTATACACACACGTGGGTCCTTATTTTGCAGCATGCTTACATCATGTCAGCACTGCACGTGCAAAAGCACTTGTTTAAGAGAACCAACTGCATCAATAATCACACCCAAACAATAACGCATATAAAGGCAGGTTTTCGTGAGTCATATTGTACTTAACAAGCTATAACACAAAACCAGTGGTATTGTACGCGGATCGCTTTAGTAAAAACTTGAATGAACTGTGGAGAGATCGCAGTTAGTACGAAGTATGTCAGAGTTATTTCCCTTGCATTGTACATGCCAGGATGGTTATATGCCCTTGTCTTATTACGTGGGACACGGTACTCTCTAATATCTAAAACGCACGGCTTAAGTGTGAGTGCAATGTGTTCAACAGTTTCATATTTATTTTCATTTTCTCATACCAGAGACATCCATCGATACGTTAATATTTGTCAATATGACACCACATTGAATGCAAGACACAATTATTGTTAATGCTCATGGCGGACTGTCTGAACGCCAACTCAAAAATCATGTCTACACAGATGATCAGTTCTGATTTGAACAGGTAAACTGAATAAGTATATCAATTTCTGATAACTAATAAAAACTAATCAATAATAATTAAAATCAATGATTTAATAATTATAATAGCAAAATAATAATAAATATGTAGAACATTTTTCAAAATCATTCACACCATCCCAAGCAGTAAAACAAGTTACAACAGTACATTCTGAACAAAAAAATATCATATTTCTCTCTGTAAACTGAAACATGAACTTCTCCATTAGGTGAACGTTAATTTTGTATTCAGAATTTGTTATACTTAACAATAACAATACGTTAACCTTATGCTCTTTTAATTTTATGTGAATTATCATATTATCACTGTAATATATCAATCAAACTTGTATTTTCATATTAGTGTGAATTTATAATTAGTTATACTAACTGTAATATGTAAGTTACACTTTCACTGATTTACAGCTTTGTGTGAATTGTGTTTACTTTGTGTGAATTGTGTTTACTTTGTGTGAATTGTGTTTACTTTGTGTGAATTGTGTTTACTTTGTGTGAATCAAGTTTGATATTATTTTCTGCTGTTGGGCGCTTGATACATCAAGTACATGACCGACGCCCAGGTGGAAGTTCATCGCCTACAGAACAGGCTGACAGAATCTACCACAGAACAGGCCGACAGAATCTTCCACAGAACAGGCCGACAGAATCTACCACAGAACAGGCCGACAGAATCTTTCACAGAACAGGCCGACAGAATCTTCCACAGAACAGGCCGAAAGAATCTTCCACAGAACAGGCCGACAGAATCTACCACAGAACAGGCCGACAGAATCTTCCACAGAACAGGCCGAAAGAATCTTCCACAGAACAGGCCGACAGAATCTACCACAGAACAGGCCGACATAATCTTCCACAGAACAGGCCGACAGAATCTTCCACCAGAACAGGCCGACAGAATCTACCACAGAACAGGCCGACAGAATCTTCCACCAGAACAGGCCGACAGAATCTTCCACGTGATGGATTCGTCTACAAACTTTAGAGGACATCCACACAACCACAACGCTGACCTAGCCAGTGCCAGATAATGAACCAGATGATCACCAATCGCTGTGTAGAATGTATGAGACCCATATACATGTACTTTTCATCTTCTTTCATGATTTTGACATATGTAACATAACGTTTGTTGCTAGATATCATTCTCTTACGTTTAAACACTCGCCGTTAAAGTGATACTTACGAATATACCTTTTATGTTTCTTTTATTCTCTTAGTTCAGGTATTAGCGTTTGACAACTTAGTTGTTGATAGGATACAGAAAGAGTGCACAAATCTCCAGATAATGGTATTACCGGGAAGTAATCAACCATGGAAACATCCTAGCAATTACGGAAATCAAATTTATCATTTTGATCAAATAAAGCGATGTATTCTAGTATGATTTAAAGACAAAAGACCATCAAACACTTCGAAAAACAGAATTATTTCGAGCCAAATACAATAGGAAAATACAGGTGACGAAATCAGTTCTTCCAGAAGTTAACTACTATGACGAAATCTCTTTACGTAGTTCCCATCAACAAGACGAAGGTCACAATGTCTAGTGTTATTTATACACAATGCGTTTAGAATGAAAAAGATTGGTGAACATGTCTAATGTGAAAATTCGTGGTCTCTGATGAAATGTACATGGTACGATATTGTGAACAGAGGCACTGGAATTATCCTCAAAAGTAACACTGGCTGTAGATATTATTCATCTGAATAGGTAAAACTAACGTCTTGTTTTAGTTCTGAGACCCAGCACCAGGTGGCGCGATCATACCTGGTGCCATGGATACCACACAGTGTAATATCTAATATCAACATAGATCAACAGTCATCAGTCCCCTGGGACACTTCGGTACGTTACTCTCGCGGATTCTCGAGTTGATATATCTGTGGCGTCTCTCTCTGACATCATTTCCGGTAAAGTGATTGTCAGTACTTGTTCCGGTCGTGGCGGAACTTCTGTTACGGCCGGTTTTTGTGGTTTTTCCTCTTCCAAGTTTTTGTTTCCCCCCTGGAAAATATTATTTTCAGTTTGTGTGTCTTGTTCTGTTTGTTTTGTCATATCTTGTTGTACAAAATTTTCATCGACCACTTGATCCTGCATCGGAAATTGTATTCCCAATTGTGCCAGTAGAGATATTTGCATTTCGATGCGACACATCCCACACTTACAGTTCTTTTCAAAATTGGTGGCTGTGATTCCTTGCGCTCCAGGGACAAGCATCTGAAATCCTGGTGTGCGCAGGTAAAACTTCCGGTCGTGCAACTTTGACTGACTTGTCAATTTAAGGTATGCACTTGGATCATCCATGACGTCATAATGTTGTGACGCATGATGTCGATGGTCGCGGCGAGGATTCTCGTCCAGGTAAATCTTTCTTACGCGCGGTGACAGTTCTCTAGTGTTCCTCCAAGACCGCGGACTTTTAGTATACCGCGACAAGTCATCCATAGATATTTGGTCCTCGTCGTCACTAGAGTAATAATCTAGAATATGACCGACTTTCTGGTTATACTTCATTCTTTCGCGATGGACTAATCGGTCCTCGTTGGTTGACGTCCGACCATGTGCTTTTGAAGTATTTGCTAGATACCGAGGCTTGTTAAGATATTCGCGCCGAATACTGGCGAGGAAACCTCCCTTCTCTGATGACACGGAACCATTGATTTTCATCAGATCAGTTCCGTTCTGTCGTGCCTTTCGGAAGAATACCACCTTACCATTGTCTATATATAGAGTTCCTTCGTCTGTCTCCCGAACAATAAACTTCCGAGGAGGGATTTCTCTTTGGGAAAACCCCGAGGCCCCAGAGGATGAACGATTTTCTTCTAGTCCAAACACGTCCGCAGACAAATCTATCTTCGCTGAGAATTCCCCTGTATCGTTTTGCTTTAAATTGTCGTAGTTTTCTCTCTTTTGTTGCTGAGGTGTGGGAAGTGATCGGGAAGTGCAATATACTTCGGCACTCCTCGGGCTGTTTAGAGGAGCCGTTTTAGCTCTCTGTCGAGGCGGACACGTGGTTGTGGCCGGGTTGGTAGCTAACTTTATTCTAGCAGAATTTACTCTCTTTTGAGTTTTTATATGATTTATATAGCCCGATTTGCGGCCTGGGAATACCGGACGTCGCATATTTGGAGGATTAACGGTACGAGTTTCTCCTTGACGTGGACTCCCGGCAAGATATGCTCTCGGTGACGGTCGTACATTCGTATCACCCTGTGACCTTGGAGACGTCATCGGCCGCGGCGTTCTTGGCGTCCGTGGTCTGTCGTCTATAAGAACTTCCGGTTCTTCTGAGTCCAGTTGACTGCGTGTCGTCAACTGGTATCTCGGGGGCATCTTCTGCCAAAGCGACCACGTACTCATATCTGCAAACACAACATGGCATTATTTTAGAAGCCATTCTGCACTATATCGACTTAGAGACGGAGATACCGGTGTCCAAATAGGGGAATATCAATTATTTTAAAAGCAATTGAAGGCTTGAATCAACAATAATTTGCATGTTGTATACAAGGCCTGATTGATAAGTTATGAACCTAGTATTAAAGAAGTTGAGCAAAGATGTCCTTTTTCAGCTCTACTATTCCCTGACTATTTAAGGCTGTGTACCCGAAGACTGGTGTCATTTGGTCAGTTTATGTCGAAGAGGTAGCACTCTAAAGTAAACAAGGCAAGTGACTTTTACAAAAAAGCCCTCAAATATAAGGCTCACAACTTATCAATCAGCCCGCGTACCACTTTGAGTGTGTATTTTAATATCGTGTTGTGTGTACAGTGTTATATCGTGTTGTGTGTGTATAGTGTTATATTGTGTTGTGTGTGTATTAAGTTATCTCGTGTTGTGTGTATTGTGTTATATCGTGTTGTGTGTGTACTGTGTTTTATCGTGTTGTGTGTATATTGTGTTATATCGTGTTGTGTGTGTATGGTGTTATATCGTGTTGTGTGTGTATTGTGTTATATCTTGTTGTGTGTGTATGGTGTTATATCGTGCTGTATGTGTATTGTGTTATATCGTGTTGTGTGTATTGTGTTATATCGTGTTGTGTGTATTGTGCTATATCGTGTTGTGCGTGTATGATGTTATATCGTGTTGTGTGTGTATTGTGTTATATCGTGTTGTGTGTGTATTGTGTTATATTTTGTTGTATGTATTGTGTTATATCGTGTTGTGTGTATTGTGTTATATCGTGTTGTATGTATTGTGTTATATCGTGTTGTGTGTGTATTGTGTTATATCGTGTTGTGTGTGTATTGTGTTATATCGTGTTGTGTGTGTATTGTGTTATATCGTATTGTATGTGTATTTTGTTATATCGTGTTGTGTGTACTGTATTATATTGTGTTGTAAGTATTGTGTTATATCGTGATGTGAGTATTGTGTTATATCGTGTTGTGTGTGCTGTATTTTATTGTGTTGTAAGTATTGTGTTATATCGTGTTATGTGTATTGTGTTATATCGTGTTGTGTGTATTGTGTTATATCGTGTTGTGTGTATTGTGTTATATCGTGTTGTGTGTGTATTGTTTTATATCGTGTTGTATGTGTATTGTGTTATATCGTGCTGTGTATTGTGTTATATCGTGTTGTATGTGTATTGTGTTATATCGTGTTGTGTGTATTTGTGTTATATCGTGTTGTGTGTGTACTGTATTATATTGTGTTGTAAGTATTGTGTTATATCGTGATGTGAATATTGTGCTTTATCGTGTTGTATGTGCATTGTGTTATATCGTGTTGTGTGTGTATTAAGTTATCTCGTGTTGTGTGTGTATTGTGTTATAACGTGTTGTGTGTGTATTGTGTTATATCGTGTTGTGTGTGTATTGTGTTATATCGTGTTGTGTGTGTATTGTGTTATATCGTGTTGTGTGTGTATGGTGTTATATCGTGTTGTGTGTGTATTGTGATATATCGTGTTATGTGTATTGTGTTATATCGTGTTGTGTGGTTATTGTGTTATATCGTGTTATGTGTATTGTGTTATATCGTGTTGTGTGTATTGTGCTATATCGTGTTGTATGTGTATGATGTTATATCGTGTTGTGTGTGTATTGTGTTATATCGTGTTGTGTGGGTACTGTGTTTTATCATGTTATGTGTGTATTGTGTTATATCGCGTTGTGTGTGTATTGTGTTATATCGTGTTGCGTGTGTATTGTGTTATATCGTGTTGTATGTGTATTGTGTAATATCGTGTTGTGTGTGTATGGTGTTATATCGTGTTGTATGTGTATTATGTTATATCGTATTGTGTGTATTGTGTGATATCGTGTTGCGTGTGTACTGTATTATATTGTGTTGTAAGTATTGTGTTATATCGTGATGTGAGTATTGTGTTATATCGTGTTGTGTGTGTACTGTATTTTATTGTGTTGTAAGTATTGTGTTACATCGTGTTGTATGTGCATTGTGTTATATCGTGTTGTGTGTGTATTAAGTTATCTCGTGTTGTGTGTATTGTGTTATATCGTGTTGTGTGTGTACTGTGTTTTATCGTGTTGTGTGTATATTGTGTTATATCGTGTTGTGTGTGTATGGTGTTATATCGTGTTGTGTGTATTGCGTTATATCGTGATGTGTGTATTGTGTTATATCGTGTTGTATGTATTGTGTTATAACGTGTCGTGTGTGTACTGTGTTATATCGTGTTGTGTGTATTGTGTTATATCGTGTTGTGTGTATTGTGTTATAACGTGTTTTGTGTGTATTGTGTTATATCGTGTTGTATGTGTATTGTGTTATAACGTGTTGTGTGTGTATTGTGATACATCGTGTTGTGTGTATTGTGTTATATCGTGTTGTGTGTTGTGTTATAACGTGTTGTGTGTGTATTGTGATATATCGTGTTGTGTGTATTGTGTAATATCGTGTTGTGTGTGTATTGTGTTATATCGTGTTGTGTGTATTGTGTTTTATCGTGTTGTGTGTATTGTGTTATATCGTGTTGTGTGTATTGTGTTATATCGTGTTGTGTGGGTACTATGTTATATCGTGTTGTGTGTATTGTGTTATAACTTGTTGTGTGTATTGTGTTATAACGTGTTGTGCGTATTTTGTTATATCGTGTTGTATGTGTATTGTGTTATATCGTGTTGTGTATGTATTGTGTTATATCGTGTTGTGTGTGTATTGTGTTATATCGTGTTGTGTGTGTATTGTGTTATATCGTGTTGTATGTGTATTGTGTTATATCGTGTTGTGTGTGTATTGTTTTATATCGTGTTGTGTGTATTGTGTTATATCGTGTTGTGTGTGTATTGTGTTATATCGTGTTGTGTGTAGTGTGTTATATCGTGTGGTGTGTTCACTGTGTTATATCGTGTTGTGTGTATTGTGTTATATCGTGTTGTCTGTGCATTGTGATACATATTGTATTCTTTGTATTGAGATATTTAACATGACTATACTATAGGTCGCTTTGTGTAACTATCAGTGACAATAGCGTTAATAAAACCCCTGTTTGAGATATATTTGATCACATACGTATGCTGTCTGTTTAACATGACACACAGCTATGGTATCATTGATCGACTTATTCCGTTGTGTATTTAGGACATGCTGACAATTTAACTAAAATAAATATTGGATGTTTGTCCCTCACTGATGGTATTAACACTTCTGTCGCGGTAAAGATATCCTAATATTTGTTCGGTTTTGGTCCACGAAATGTTACTGATCTGTGTGTGTGTGATTTATCATAGAAACTTGTATTGATGTACGTGATATTCAAACTTATATTTCTTCAGAAAACACACAACTTTTGTGACAATATAATTCACTATATACACACTGTCCCAAAGAATAACATGGTAAGGTAGAGCTAATATTTGGCTGATGGAACTGGAGAATACTGATTTGTCGACAATTAACACACATCGGATTTACTGTAGTACACATCATGTGTATAAAGTTTTCCGCATATATTTAAATGTATACAGAAAATAAAATTACCGAGAAAAAAATCATTTTCTTCCGACACAGATGTAAACTACTAATCAGTTTGTAACAGGTGGAGAGTTTCTGAACTAAACTCTACACCCCTAAACATCCCTCCACTCTGTGAATGTATATACCTGATCAATCCCTACGTTAACTGGAGAGATATAATGGTTATAAACAGTGCATATACTACGTGGACTGTTTACCCTGTCATAAAACATTAAGTATGGGTCTTCTGTGTCAATATTTACCATGTAATGGGTAACAGACCGACAACCCTCGCTAAAACTCCATTTTCCTCAACGACCATCCCAACACCACATTGACTTTTCTTTTTTCGTTTTTTCGCCGCGAAAACCGCAAAACCCACTCTCTTCACCACCGCCTTGGCACAGCCCGACGATCCTCACAAACCCCTCTCCTACTACCAACCCGACCTAGCCCGACTATCCTCACATAATCCCCTCTTTCTTTACCACTACCCCGACACTTCCCGACAACCCTCACAAAACCCCTTCTACACATTTATTATTACTCCTACCGATATCAGAGTAACCTAAACATTCAACAACTGCACAAAACTTTTAAAGTCATGTTCCTTTTTGAAACAAGTAAGATTTCCCTTGCTGCTGATGAAAGAGTGATATAAAAGATCCTACTGGAACTTGATCGTTCTCGGTACAAGGCATTGCTTCAATTATGACCATTGTGTCCATCATACTAAGTGAAGCATTGTGTCAATTATAGAAATAAAACATACTAAATATAGCATTGTGTCAATTATAGAAATAAAACATACTAAATATAGCACTGTGTCAATTATAGAAATAAAACATACTAAATATAGCATTGTGTCAATTATAGAAATAAAACATACTAAATATAGCATTGTGTCAATTATAGAAATAAAACATACTAAATATAGCATTGTGTCAATTATAGAAAGGGTAGATACCAAATACATGAAGTATCGTGTCAATTATAGAAAGAGTACATACCCAATATAATATTGTGTTAATTCTTGATACAGTAAGAGGCATGTTCGTGTCAAATTCTTACGGAATACAAACACACTGTGATAGTAAGCCCGAAGTCTGATGTTGCTCCGTATCTGACACCACAGGACAATATGTAAAAGTGATGGTATAGACTTTCAGCTGTCAAGATTACAACATACAAAATAAAAGAATGTGACGAATCCAAAAGTCTGTAAAACTGATATTGATCATAAACTATGTTCCCACCACGTCGTGGGGAAGCTTCCTCCCAATATTCTCCAACGTCATTGATCCTGAACCATGCTAATTAATGATGAGAACTTTGTTTACGGTAAAGAAAGTGTTACATACCTTTCTCACGGGAGATGGAGGTAGCGGACAGCTGTTTATTGAATAGATGCATGTTGTTTACATTCCAGTGTTTAACACTGTTCCGTTACACGATGATGTGTTGCATGTGGACCTACCTGTGTACAGGTGTTGTACAAGTGTGTATATTTACCTAGGCTTTAGCGTAGCGTAGATCCAGCAGTACAGCCTCCCTAACATCACTACAGACAAAACGCGGGTGACAGATTAACAAATTCTGGCCACCATGCCTTTATCAAATTTGTAGTACATCCCTTGAAAAACTTACTAATGACCGTATCATACTAAACAATAGTAGCGTACCATGTTCCCTATAATCGTACCAAGCAGAATTATACTGTAACAAATCTCTAATAGAAGTACCGGTGTAGAGCTGTACAACTCTATAAAACTGTACCGTACCACCTCCCTAATAAATGTACCACTCTGAATAAGTGTACCGTAACCCTAATAAACGTACCACTCTGCAGTACTGTACCGTAACATCTCCCTGACAAACGTACCACTCTATAAAACTGTACCGTACCACCTCCCTAATAAATGTACCACTCTGAATAATTGTACCGTAACCCTAATAAACATACCACTCTGCAGTACTGTACCGTAACATCTCCCTGACAAACATACCACTCTATATAACTGTACCGTACCACCTCCCTAATAAATGTACCACTCTGAATAATTGTACCGTAACCCTAATAAACATACCACTCTGCAGTACTGTACCGTAACATCTCCCTGACAAACGTACCACTCTATATAACTGTACCGTACCACCTCCCTAATAAATGTACCACTCTGAATAATTGTACCGTAACACCTCCCTAATAAACATACCACTCTGCAGTACTGTACCGTACCACCTAATAAACGTACCACTCTGAATAACTGTACCGTAACACCTCCCTAATAAACATACCACTCTGCAGTACTGTACCGTACCACCTCCCTAATAAACGTACCACTCTGAATAACTGTACCGTAACACCTCCCTAATAGACATACCACACTGCAGTACTGTATCGTAACCTCCCTAATAAACGTACCACTCCGTATAACTGTACCGTAACACATCCCTAATAAACGTACCACTCTATAGTACTGTACCGTACCACCTCCCTAATAAACGTACCACTCTGTATAACTGTACCGTACCACCTCCCTAATAAACGTACCACTCTGTATAACTGTACCGTACCACCTCCCTAATAAACGTACCACTCTGAATAACTGTACCGTAACATCTCCCTGATAAACGTACCACTCTGTATACCTGTACCGAAACACCTCCCTAATAAATGTACCACTCTGTATAACTGTACCGTACCACCTCCCAATAAACGTACCACTCTGCAGTACTGTACCGTACCACCTCCCTAATAAACGTATCACTCTGTATACCTGTACCGAAACACCTCCCTAATAAATGTACCACTCTGTATAACTGTACCGTACCACCTCCCAATAAACGTACCACTCTGCAGTACTGTACCGTACCACCTCCCTAATAAACGTATCACTCTGTATAACTGTACCGTACCACCTCCCTAATAAACGTACCACTCTATAGTACTGTACCGTACCACCTCCCTAATAAATATACCACTCTGCAGTACTGTACCGTAACACCTCCCTAATAAACGTACCACTCTGTATAACTGTACCGTACCACCTCCCTAATAAACGTACCACTCTGTATAACTGTACCGTAACACCTCCCTAATAAACGCACCACTCAGTAGAATAGTTATCATTCACAAGTGATCGGAGATGAAATTAGTTGTATCTATTATGGTGAATATGTTTGATCTTTTTACTGCAATATCAACAATTTTTTTTGTATTTTATATTGGCGTTAAGCTCTCAACTTAGCCGATCTCTACGTCAATAAGCAACGGAATTTTAATAATTAAATTACATTGTGTTGACTTCCCGTCATCTTAAGTCAGTGTTAATTTGGTTTAACCTCTTTTGTGTAATTAACTACAACGGGACTGTTACAAAGATAATCAAACCCGAGAGAACAAATACGTCTACATATATTCTGTTAAACAAGTGAATTACTGATCTGATTTCAAACTCGAGGCTATTGAATTTTCTAACCAATCCGAATCCCAGCCACTAACCCACATTCACCCAAGTGACTTACCCACCCCGTCCCCAGCCACACATCCAGTCACACAAACGGCCACACACCAGCCACATACCAGTCAAACATCAAGCCACATACCCAGTCACAAATTCAGTCAATCATCTAGCCACATTCCCAGTCACACATCTACCCACATACCCAGCCACACAATCAGCTACACACCAGCCACATACCAGCAAAACATCTAGCAACACACCCAGCCACACATCAGCCAAATATCTAGCCACACACCAGCCAAACATCCAGTCACATACCCAGCTACACACCAGCCACACACCAGCCAAACATCTAGCCACACACTCAGCCACACATCAGCCAAACAACTAGGCACACACCCAGCCACACAACAGCCAAACATCGAGCCACATACCCAGTCACACATCAGCCAAACACCCAGTAACATACCCAGCCACACACCCATCCACACATCCAGCCACATATCGAGCCACATACCCAGCCACACACCAAGCCACACACCCAGCCACATACCCAGCCACACACCCAGTAACACACCCAGTCACACATCTAGCCAAACATCAAGTCACACACCCAGTCACACACCAAGTCACACACCCAGCCACACAGCCAGTCACACAGCCAGTCATACATCTAGTCACACACCAGCCAAACATACAGTCACACACAAGTCACACACCTAGCCACACAACAGCCACATACCGTGCCACATACCCAGTCACACATCAGCCAAACATCTAGCCACATACCCAGTCACACACCCAGTCACACACCCAGTAACACACCCAGCTAAACACCAAGCCACACACCCGGCCACACATCCAGCCAAACATCCAGTCACACAGCCAGCCAAACATCCAGTCACACACCAAGCCACACAGTCACACATCCAGCCACACATCGAGCCACATACCCAGCCACACACCAAGCCACACACCCAGCCACATACCCAGCCACACACCCAGTAACACACCCAGTCACACATCTAGCCAAACATCAAGTCACACACCCAGTCACACACCAAGTCACACACCCAGCCACACACCCAGTCACACAGCCAGTCACACAGCCAGTCATACATCCAGTCACACACCAGCCAAACATCCAGTCACACACCAGTCACACACCCAGTCACACACCCAATCACACACCGAGTCACACACCCAGCCACACATCCAGTCACACACCCCAATCACACACCCAGTCACACACATCCAGTGTAATGTGTACTCGTCTATCAACAAAATCAAATATATACATTACACGTGTCAAGGACGCACATATACCATGAACTACTATGTAGACTGAACACTTGGATTTAGAATGTGAAATAATTTTACACCTGACTACAAGATAACTACAGCAGTTACAAAGTGGCGCATTGTAATATCCGTCCCTATGTAATACCAACTGGTGCCCTAAAACCCCAATTCATCATATAGTTTGTCAGAGATAAAGGTAATCTTGTTATTTAAAGTGAAATCTTTAAAGAGGCCAAACCCTCGTGTTTAATATGTCGACTATAGCATGGTTCACAACAGGTGGATTTATTTATTAGGTACAGCTATTTCAGTAGTAAATATTTAAACATACAGCTGCTCAGGTCAGCTTTACACGTTACTTATCACAATGCTTCAAGTACAACATACATCCCCTTTTATGGCATAAACATTTTATCAAAATAATTCACAGTAAATAGTTACGATATTTCTAATATTGTTTGAAGGAGACGCTTGTTGGTTTTTCGAATGACACTGGAACAGAGACAACAAGAAATGCCTTGTATCTTTGTTCTCTGTTTGATACGCTTGTTTTTTATGACTGGGGTCGATATAATGTATAGGCTGCTATTGACAGGCGGAGGGCGATTATAGTTCCACTACTTTGTCAGCTTCATCTTAATTTTCCTCAAAGCAGTTAAAACGAATAAACTTGATTTTCATGGGTAACAAGGCTGTTTTCTATTGAATGCTTGACTTTTTAATGAAATATATTGTAGAATATCGAATTTCATAATAAATTGTATGGGAAATAGATCTTGGCGCTTACAAAGCTTTTCAACTGTTGTTGGCGGGAAATGAAAAACGTGTGTAGGGTCGGGGTAAATGTCCACACACAAGAAACTGAAAACACATATAACATGTACATTATTCACTCAAAATACAGATCAGTCTTTATGTTAAGGCTAGCATCAAGCGAAGATATCAATATAATCCCACAACAACTCTTTTATGATAAAAGTTGGACGTTGCTATTTAGATCTTAACACTTTTTAGTCAATCGCTTACGCGTGGTACAAACTCATTTTGTCAAAAACTAGACTTTCTGAACAATTGTTAAAACATGTTTTTGTGCATTTCTTACATCGTCATCCGAAACTAGACTCGTTATCTCTCAAATTCTCGTCAGTCGCATTCCAATTTCAACATCAATTCCTAACTTCATTTCAAATATAAATCTAAACTTGATTTTCAAATTTTCAAGTTTCTAAAGCGGTAAGAATATACCATGTTGATATTTGATCAAAGTTTACTCGAAAATGAATACCAATGTAACTAGTCACATAGGTGGCAACCTAATGGTGTTACCGTCTTCAAATGTAAGAAATGGGAAAATTGTACAAGTTTATCAGTATTTTATCAGCTCAAATATGCATTCACATCATTCATGATGTGTATTATATAAGTAATCACTTCATTTCGGACCAGGGGCGGTCAGAACTTAACCACTACCATTCGGACCAGGGGCGGTCAGATCTTAATCACTACCATTCGGACCAGGGGCGGTCAGATCTTAACCACTACCATTCGGACCAGGGGCGGTCAGATCTTAACCACTACCATTCGGACCACAGGAGGTCAGATCTTAACCACTACCATTCGGACCAGGGGCGGTAAGATCTTAACCACTACCATTCGGACCGGGGGCGGTCAGATCTGTAACCACTACCGTTCGGACCAGGGCGGTCAAATCTTAACCACTACCATTCGGACCAGGGGCGGTCAGATCTGTAACCACTACCATTCGGACCAGGAGCGGTCAGATCTTAACCACTACCATTCGGACCAGGAGCGGTCAGATCTTAACCACTACCATTCGGACCAGGGGCGGTCAGATCTTAACCACTACCGTTCGAATTAGGGGCGGTCAGATCTGTAACCACTACCATTCGGACCAGGGGCGGTCAGATCTTAACCACTACCATTCGGACCAGAGGCGGTCAGATCTTAACCACTACCATTCGGACCAGGGGCGGTCAGATCTTAATCACTACCATTCGGACCAGGGGCGGTCAGATCTTAACCACTACCATTCGGACCAGGGGCGGTCAGATCTTAACCACTACCATTCGGACCAGGGGCGGTCAGATCTTAACCACTACCATTCGGACCAGGGGCGGTCAGATCTTAACCACTACCATTCGGACCACAGGAGGTCAGATCTTAACCACTACCATTCGGACCAGGGGCGGTAAGATCTTAACCACTACCATTCGGACCGGGGGCGGTCAGATCTGTAACCACTACCGTTCGGACCAGGGCGGTCAAATCTTAACCACTACCATTCGGACCAGGGGCGGTCAGATCTGTAACCACTACCATTCGGACCAGGAGCGGTCAGATCTTAACCACTACCATTCGGACCAGGAGCGGTCAGATCTTAACCACTACCATTCGGACCAGGGGCGGTCAGATCTTAACCACTACCGTTCGAATTAGGGGCGGTCAGATCTGTAACCACTACCATTCGGACCAGGGGCGGTCAGATCTTAACCACTACCATTCGGACCAGAGGCGGTCAGATCTTAACCACTACCATTCGGACCAGGGGCGGTCAGATCTTAATCACTACCATTCGGACCAGGGGCGGTCAGATCTTAACCACTACCATTCGGACCAGGGGCGGTCAGATCTTAACCACTACCATTCGGACCAGGAGCGGTCAGATCTTAACCACTACCATTCGGACCAGGGGCGGTCAGATCTTAACCACTACCATTCGGACCACAGGAGGTCAGATCTTAACCACTACCATTCGGACCAGGGGCGGTAAGATCTTAACCACTACCATTCGGACCGGGGGCGGTCAGATCTGTAACCACTACCGTTCGGACCAGGGCGGTCAAATCTTAACCACTACCATTCGGACCAGGGGCGGTCAGATCTGTAACCACTACCATTCGGACCAGGAGCGGTCAGATCTTAACCACTACCATTCGGACCAGGAGCGGTCAGATCTTAACCACTACCATTCGGACCAGAGGCGGTCAGATCTTAACCACTACCATTCGGACCAGGGGCGGTCAGATCTTTAACCACTACCATTCGGACCAGGGGCGGTCAGATCTTAACCACTACCATTCGGACCAGGGGCGGTCAGATCTTAACCACTACCGTTCGAATTAAGGGCGGTCAGATCTGTAACCACTACCATTCGGACCAGAGGAGGTCAGATCTTAACCACTACCATTCGGACCAGGGGCGGTCAGATCTTAACCACTACCATTCGGACCAGGGGCGGTCAGATCTTTAACCACTACCATTCGGACCAGGGGCGGTCAGATCTTAACCACTACCATTCGGACCGGGGGCGGATCTGACTTTTTAACAGTGTCCACTGTAAGTCGGAGTAGGGGTGTTCGGACCTGACTTTTTAACAGTGTCCACTGTAAGTCGGAGTAGGGGTGTTCGGACCTGACTTTTTAACAGTGTCCACTGTAAGTCGGAGTAGGGGTGTTCGGACCAGACTTTCTAACAGTGTCCACTGTAAGTTGGAGTAGGGTGTTCGGACCAGGGTTTATACCAGTGACCATTACAGCTACATGGGTGGTCGGGTGACGTCGTTGCAACGCACTCGCCTTTCACCTCGCCGTCCGGGGCCCGATTCCCGGAATGGACGTGAAGGTATGGAGTCACTTACCCGACCACGTGGGGTTTTTCAAGGGTACTCCGGCTCCCACACTAACACCCCTCACGCGCTTCCGTTCGGGCCAATAAGAGTGATTAATTTAAAATGGAAAAACTTGTTTCGCAATTATTGTAAAATAAAGTTTATTCTATTCTACAGCTACATTTAGAGACACAATAAGACAAGACTTTCACAATTAAGTTATTTCATTGTCATTTCTAACTCGACTAGATTATTCCATTTTATAACTAGAAATATAGGAATGAAATATTATCGCTACAGAAATATTCAAGTCCGACATTAACATATCATTCCTGTTCAGATATCATTTACATTACCTTCTGGACGAAGCACGAGTTGAAGAACTTGTTTCTCCATCGAAGCGACTAACTCACGTGACAAATTCCACATCGAAATGCATATTTAGGTGAACGTTTGATGTAAGTTTCATTATTACTGTCCGTTACTACAATCAGTTCACACCAGCATGTGTGTTCCTTATGTTAAGATAAGGATATAGGTATGTATAGTGCTAATACAGTATTATCCGTCTATAGGGGACTTAGGAACCTGGCATGTTGAATAAGTCCAGTTAACACCTCAATACGTCAGCGAAAGCCTTGTCAACTCGACTTAGTTCAAGATCAGTCTGGATGTGATATGTTCCAATGTTTCCACAGTATATCCTTCTTTTATGGAACCCTACATATCAATCAAGCTAGTTAGATGAGATCTCAATTTCTATTAATTTCCGACATGTTTTTATTTTGTCCGTAAAGCTTGTGAGCTTATAAACCATTGACATACCCGGCTTAGCTGTAAATGTTGGTACAATGACCTTACAATAACAGAGCCCTGGACGGTAATTAAATTACAAAAGCTAGGTAAGGATACTACTTAATCATATAGATGACGGGCGCATTGTCGTCAGTACAGTGTACTTCAATACACCGTCACAGCTGGGTAAAACTAACACACTGACCCACGCGTATCTACGTAATGCAAGTCAATTAATGAAGTCAATCACATTCGGGGGGTTCCGCGTGCTAGAAATGCTGACATACGTAATATTAAACTGTACACAAATCAATCTCTATATTTTGTAAGCAGTTCTCTCAAGTAATATTCCAAATGAGATATAGTATTCATTTAAATATCAAGTTGAATTTGTATGTTATAATTTTAAACGGAATTAATAAACTCGTTATGTTTTGACATCTCGTTTCAAGACGGTATTGGCATCTGATCTCTATCAGGTATTGACACCTCGCCTCTAGATGGCTCTTACACCTCGTCTGTGGACGGTATTAACACACCGTATGTAGATGGTATAGACAACTCTTCTGTAGACGGTATTGACACCTCGTCCATAAATAGTATCGACACTTCATCTCTAAATAGCATTGGCAACTCGTTTCTAGATGGTATTGACAACTCGTCTGTAGACTGTATTGACAACTCGTCTGTGGATGGTATTGACAACTCGTCTGTAGACGGTATTGACAACTCGTCTCTAGAAGGTATTGACAACTCGTCTGTAGACGGTATTTGCAACTCGTCTCTAGAAGGTATTGACAACTCGTCTCTACATGGTACTGGCACTTCGTCTCTAGAAAGTATTGACAACTTGTCTGTAGACGGTAGTGGCAACTCGTCTCTTTATAGTATTGACAACTCGTCTCTAGACGGCATTGACAACTCGTCTTTAGATGGTATTGACAACTCGTCTTTAGATGGTATTGACAACTCGTCTCTATACGGTGTTGACAACTCGTCTCTAGAAGGTATTGACAACTTGTCTGTAGACGGTAGTGGCAACTCGTCTCTTTATAGTATTGACAACTCGTCTCTAGAAGGTATTGGCGACTCGTCTCTAGAAGGTATTGACAACTCGTCTCTAGAAGGTATTGACAACTCGTCTACAGACGGTATTGGCAACTCGTCTCTAGAAGGTATTGACAACTCGTCTCTAGAAGGTATTGACTACTCGTCTCTAGAAGGTACTGACAACTCGTCTGTAGACGTTATTGACAACTCGTCTGTGGATGGTATTGACAGCTCGTCTGTAGAAGGTATTGACAGCTCGTCTCTACAAGGTATTAAACTACGTCTCTTGCTTGGACCTTGATCGCCTTCCTCAAACTTTTCATGGAGGATGAATATAGAAAAATACAGAATTCCCCTTTCAAATGTTATTTTTTAAAGATTATTTCACGATTAAAGTTGTCATTACGTACTCGGCATCGGGTTGTCAATATCGAAAACAATCCTACATCTCACTTTACAGGTCTGTGGTCATATATTATGTATTTCCATCTCTTATTTACTATTCCATCGATACAACCACAATGGTCGCCTTCCGAAAGCCTGACACAAACATAATGGTCAATATTGATTCCCCTCAGTAACATTGTTACTGTTGTTGACGCTTTGTTTCGGTTACCACAGATATACTATTGATCTATATCCATATATAGTAGGATTTCAGATATTAGTACGTCACACATCACTAAGTTTATATACTTCATCTTTAAATTTTGAAAATATTACTGTCAGAACTCGAAAATGTTTAATTTATAAGTAAACGAAGCATTAAATAAGACAAAAAATAGTGAATGGTATTTCGATTGAGGAAAAGCAGACAGGCACAAACAGTATACAAAGTGCAATTTACAAGATGAAGATAAATTGACTTGATTATATAAAGGGGAAAGAGTTATTGAAATTATACATGATTTTCGTTCAATTTACAAAGACGCATTGTGCGTGTGTACCAGATCACAGTGTATATTAATTATCATCAATGCTTAGTCATTCATAATCTAACTGACTTCCCACGACCGTCTGCATTATTGTAGCTTAATACTGTATCACATGTCTTACATTACCGACGTGCGCTGACAGTACACCTGTAATTGACATCGTTTTTACATTAATTATAACGGCCATAATTAGAGTATGTATACAATACACACAGGCCGATAAAGGTTGGAATGAGATAGGGACAGGTCTACATAGTAATACTAGATCTGTAGATTAAACAAGAGACGTAATTAATCCTTATTTTTTTTATAAATCATTCTTGTAAAATAAGTGATTTATGTTTACATTGTAACACAGCAAACGATACTCTATGGAGACATTTAGGAGCGGGTTAGTCGTAAATTAAGTGGCTTTTATTACTATTTAGTCAGTGTCAAATTGGGCGGATTTTACCACTCATACCCAAATAAGAAATATCGTTTTATCTACGACGTTTCCTTCCCTATCAACCTGTGTTATCTAGAACGTTTCCCTCGCTATTAGCCCGTGTTATCTAGAACGTTTCCCTCGCTAATAGCCCGTGTTATCTAGAACGGTTCCCTCGCCACTAAACCGTGTTATCTAGAACGGTTCAATCGCTAATAACCCGTGTTATCTAGAACGGTTCCCTCGCCAATAAACCGTGTTATCTAGAACGGTTCCCTCGCTAATAATCCGTGTTATCTAGAACGGTTCCCTCGCCAATAACCCATGTTATCTAGAACGGTTCCCTCGCCAATAACCTGTGTTATCTGGAACGGTTCCCTCGCCAATAACCCGTGTTATCTGGAACGGTTCCCTTGCCAATAACCCGTGTTATCTAGAACGGTTCCCTCGCTAATAGCCCGTGTTATCTAGAACGGTTCCCTCGCCAATAAACCGTGTTATCTAGAACGGTTCCCTCGCCAATAACCCATGTTATCTAGAACGGTTCCCTCGCCAATAACCTGTGTTATCTGGAACGGTTCCCTCGCCAATAACCCGTGTTATCTGGAACGGTTCCCTTGCCAATAACCCGTGTTATCTAGAACGGTTCCCTCGCTAATAGCCCGTGTTATCTAGAACGGTTCCCTCGCCAATAAACCGTGTTATCTAGAACGGTTCAATCGCTAATAACCCGTGTTATCTAGAACGGTTCCCTCGCCAATAAACCGTGTTATCTAGAACGGTTCCCTCGCTAATAATCCGTGTTATCTAGAACGGTTCCCTCGCCAATAACCCATGTTATCTAGAACGGTTCCCTCGCCAATAAACCGTGTTATCTAGAACGGTTCCCTCGCTAATAGCCCGTGTTATCTAGAACGGTTCCCTCGCCAATAAACCGTGTTATCTAGAACGGTTCCCTCGCCAATAACCCATGTTATCTAGAACGGTTCCCTCGCCAATAACCCGTGTTATCTGGAACGGTTCCCTCGCCAATAACCCGTGTTATCTGGAACGGTTCCCTTGCCAATAACCCGTGTTATCTAGAACGGTTCCCTCGCTAATAGCCCGTGTTATCTAGAACGGTTCCCTCGCCAATAAACCGTGTTATCTAGAACGGTTCAATCGCTAATAACCCGTGTTATCTAGAACGGTTCCCTCGCCAATAAACCGTGTTATCTAGAACGGTTCCCTCGCTAATAATCCGTGTTATCTAGAACGGTTCCCTCGCCAATAACCCATGTTATCTAGAACGGTTCCCTCGCCAATAACCTGTGTTATCTGGAACGGTTCCCTCGCCAATAACCCGTGTTATCTGGAACGGTTCCCTTGCCAATAACCCGTGCTATCTAGAACGGTTCCCTCGCCAATAACTTGTGTTATCTAGAACTGTTCCCTCGCTAATAATCTGTGTTATCTAGAACGGTTCCCTCGCCAATAAACCGTATCATCTAGAACGGTTCCCTCGCTAATAAACCGTGTTATCTAGAACGGTTCCCTCGCTTATAACCCGTGTTATCTAGAACGGTTCCCTCGCCAATAACTCATATTATCTATAACGGTTTCCTCGCCAATTCCCCGTGTTATCTAGAATGGTTCCCTCGCCAATACCCCATACTATCTTGAACGGTTCCCTCGCCATTAACCCATGTTTTCCAGAACGGTTCTCGCCATTAACATATATTCCATTCCTTTTAACGCAAGTTATCTAGAACAATCAGGTTTCCTCCATATCAACTGTGTTATCTCGAACGGTTCCATCCCTAAAATTCGTGATACCAAGAATAGTTTCTTGGTTATCTCATGTATAAAAAACGGCTCCCCTCCCCCTTCCTCATTTTTCCACCGTGAGATCCAGGACGGTTCCATCACCAATTAACAATTTCTGATCCAAATAAAGACTGCCGGACAGCTGACGTGAAAATTGTATGACAATTGTTGTCAACATCAGGTTGATCTATATAGGCCAAACCAACTAAGTAGCATGGGTTGTATAAATGGAGCAATGTGAATTTTCAGAATTGATGTTGAGATAAGTTTTAGAAGCTGAATGTTTCGTCAAATCGAGACTAGCAATAACCCGATGTATGACCTCGACATAAACCTTCCGTCTTAAGAACGGCTTGTAGAACAAATATCTAGGCTTTGGAATGCAATGTTTCTTTCTTACTTTAATGTATGTTCAAGTATCATGAGTTATGCGTGTGAATTAAAACTGGATTCCCCACTAAATTCTCAGGCTGATGATCAGTTCATTGGTTTATTGACTTTCCAGGTTCTTATGACCTCTCCTTTCCCAATTGTTCATTGGAAATTTTAACTACAGTAAGGTGGACCGATGTCTGTTAATGTTGGTAACGGTAAGTCAACTTCCAATAAATCCGAACGATTGTCTTTAGAGCCTTGTGATGTTATATCTATATTTGCTTTCACCTGTTTAAGTATTTAAATTTGTGACACGTCCTTATTGGGCTTCCCAATTAGTCCCACTCGTTATGATACAATCATACAGAGACAATGTCACCAGGCGAGTACACACTGACATATCACCTAAACAAATACCGGCTAATGTCATCCTAGCACACTTATACTCAATACAACTCTATACCAGTTGGTATTTTTAAGTTCTTAGGCGTTGAAAAGGACAGTGTTCGTTAGGGATAAAAGACAGAGTCGAGATGTAACTGATAGAGCTGACAGAGTTATCGTTCTTACAGGACGATGCAGTTTAGTATAAAAAGGTTAGATTTAAAGATTTCAAATTGTAGCTTAATGTCACGTATGTATAGTCTGAAGACGGGTTTAAAGGGACAAAGAAAATTAACAGCAATCGGATGCTCTCCCTCAACTTATAATTTACAAGCATGATGTGTGATCTCCGTGAAAGCTAGTCACAAACTTGCGGAATGAGACTATTATCAAACTTTACATTGTATTTAGTCAGTTACAAGATTGCATAAGAATGGATTTTTCTTTTGAATGAGACTAGTAAGTGTTAGTGTTTAAAGGAGTATATGATCTAACTAGCTATAAAACACTAAAGATATGAATGTTGTGTATTGAGAGAGAATTGATCAGCAGACACATTTACATACCCCGCAGCAAATCGCTCTCTTTTGTGTATTTTACTTACCTGTGGTTTAAATCACATTAATGACGAGGAAGCTGGAATGTCCTGATCATTCTAACTCTCCGTCACAAAGTAACGTCCTTTGCACAGCTCCATCCGTATATACTTACAAACCTGTCTTACGGCAAAGCTTTATCACCGATATATATATTCAATCTGGTTTATAAAACAGTATTTATCTAAATCCCGGCAACGCGTGGAGACTATCACATCAACTATTGAAACGCAACTTCAATCTTAACATACGACCCGAAAGTGACATTTTCGAGATACGGGACTTTGAATCGAGGCAAGGTCGTGATATCTTGGAATTGGTCCCTGGTAGAAAGCCAGTCAAACATGGTATATCTGGTTAAAGTATCAATATGGCACCAGCTATTTATTTTAAAACTCTGTTTGACTAAGTAATTCATTAAAGAATTCGTAAAGTTAAAGTACACAAATCGGCGGCGTCGCCTGTTCGTCAACATCTCGAGGTGTTTGTTCAGAAACTCTAGATCTATAAGGCAGAGTGTGTACGTATGCAGTCCTGCCTAGTCCTGTGTTGATGATAACCTTTACCTCCGATCGCTTGTTACGTTCAACTGATACAGAGTAATCGAGAATATTTGTTTTAATAATAGGTAAGCAATATCGACAGGTTGTTTACCTTCTCTCTGTAACACAAAACCTGTGACGCAATACACGTGTTGGACTAGGAGGTCACCGTTTTTATATGGCAGATGTTATGTGCCATATCGTTACGTCGGGAAGCAATGTTAAATATCGCCCTCTAGTCCCGCTTACGCGCGAGAGATAACGTTAATTTTCGTTCCGGATAAATTATCAGATTTTATCAGAAAAAAAAAGAATATTAAATTATCGTCATCAGGTTGTGACGAATGTCTTAGCTTTGTCGTCCCGTGGAGTGTAAAGACGACACTTATATACATAGTGAAGTGATAAGTATTGAATATAACCCATCAAACCTCTCTCTTTCACCCCCCCCCCCCCACATGCACGAACAATGTACGTACACGCGCACAGACGAAGTAATGAAATAATGACTGTATCATTAAACGGAAAGTGCTTATCTCACCGACGTCATCGTGACTTATAGACAAGTGTGTCCTCTCAGAGTGCCGTCATGTTTACAAATAGAAAAAAATACTAATATTGTTTTTATCTTTCTTTTTTCAGATTTGAATCCTTTTCTCCACAAATGAAGGGTCCCTGGGTAACCGACACGTGTGGAGAGTAAATTCCTGTATAATAATTACTTGATCATTGATAAAGATGAAAAAACACCTATAATAATCTGCAAATCATACAGGATAGCTTTAGGTTGAACAGTCACCGTCCTTGTAGATATATAATTGATATGTATCTTGACAAGGTCATTGTTGAATGGTCTCTACGGTAACACAGATGCTGTCAAATCTAGATCAGGTTGGCTGCTCAGTGGGCTAAACTAAAGCGCAGACCCGGGGAAATCTTAAATTTCCCGCGTTTCGGAGAATAGTGCGAAATATTTGACCTGTATACACGGAATGCTCGTAAACGGGTTAAAGTTTTGACCAATGTCGCGTACTACACGTGTAGGGTAGAAGGTTTCCATTCTAGCGTCGGACGCCAAACAGAGCCAAAGTTTTACAATGCGATCCAATTATTGAATAGAGCATTATAGGTGATTTGATCAATATAATTTAGATTAGAACGGTTTTGAATGAATTACGGGCATCTTTTTTTTGTTAGAAATCCCAGCAATACATACATTAAGCATTGCGGAGCTGATACACCTCATGCCTTTTCCTGTCAAGGTTTTACAAGTTGGATGGCGCGCTTGGTTTTTACATAATGTATGCCCATCAGAGGGTATGTGTGGGAGAAATGCAGTGTTACATGTATTGTGAAAAGCGTATACAATGAATATATGTTGCTCGGTTTTTCAAGTATTTTGAAAATAAATGCCGGCTCCGTCTGTTTAGCAACCGAGTTGCTAATTGCTATGTATACAGGTGTTGTTCTTTAATAGTGTACGGGGTATATAGAGGACGTTTATTTCCTTGCTGAGACTTCCCTCAAACACAACATCAGTTTGGTTTAATAGTTAATGGTGAAAAACTCGCACGTCTCAATGAGAGCTAACTTGTTATTCCGTCTTGTCAATTCCATTCGTCCGATGGAAACACATCTGAATGCAAGATAAAGTGATGTCATCAATTTAGCACACTGTGAATATGTGGGTCCAAACCACTGCTCAGTCCCATCCAGGAGTATACACAGGATATTAGTTCCGGTACTCCAGCATTGTAAGAAGTAGACAGTCCTATAAGGAATAAGTATTTTTCAACATGGATGTAATATAATAAATTGAGCGCTATATGGTATTGTGTATGTGGTTACTTAAAACCATCAAGTTTAAGCTGCAACTTTAAACGGAAGTGTGGCTTCCTTAACCACAATATAGTACCGCAGCATGCAATGAGACACGTTGAATGGATTAAAAATAATTTTGACTGTCAAAATATTTTCATGCCTTCATCAGGATATGAAATCATAATAAAAGTCTTAGATATTTCAAACAAAATTAACAAATATATGCGTTAATGGTTGGAAACGCGTGTAACCAAAAACTTGTGGGGAAAATACAATTTTAATCATTCAAGATAATAGAACGTTTGTTATCCAGGGTACCTGATTTCCTGTTTAAGATACCGGAACTTTCGTCGGTTTGTTGATCAACTTGCGCTCGCTTTTAAGGCAATGTCAAATATATGACATAATATACGATAAATGTTATTGACTTCTAGTTCCACAGTTTTGTTGTTGCTGACAGAGGGACATGCTAGCGATATATGTCTCTTTGGCAAGTATTAGATTAGAAGCTGTAGACGTACGTCTCTGGTGTAAGTATAAAAATGTTCAAAGTCAATTATTTTTTATAACTTGTATACGTATTAGTCACCTTAGTCAGAGACATATATAACACATATATACGTCTCTGCTTTAGTTCAGTATCAACTATCCGTATCCGTAATTTTGTAGGCCCACTTCAAAATTATACGTAAACAATCAATTCCGGTAAGCAAAACTGTACCGGAAGCAACATTCGTTCCTTAACAACAAAGTTGTCCTATCTGCAAGTTGACAACCAATACAAAAAGAAAGTAGGAGCAATAACTTCTGTCTTGAAGATGGACGTGTAAGTGTTTTATAAGTAGAACGGAAAGTGATCCTTAAAACATCTGGGCAGTCATGGAATAGTTGTCAATTCTAAAATTAGATATGACGTCTCGTCTCAGGACTGGATTTTTTCATCATCGTTGTGAAATAGGTTCAAAGTAGACTAAGAATAGTTTCAACATTTTCAAGTCTTTATTGAAGCGAAAATAGACGAAGTAACATATGCAGTGAGGTATATGTTGAAAATCACGGAATTCGTATATCTTGAAATAATTAGATTTATCTACAACTGATCTAATTTCCTCGTTGTTATTCCCGCAATGTCGAAAACGAAAGTAGACAAATTTGGCAACCAGAAAAACCTGTCATTGTAAAGGAAATACTTTTTATACTTAATACACCTACTGTAGGTTTTGCAAAATGATGAACTCCTCATATATTTACCTCATTTTACATTTTTTTTACATTTCAGATTCAGCGTTGTGTTCTTTGATCTTGTGAAATGGCGGAAGTAGTAGTCATGCAGCGACCAGATCTCTTCACAAACTTATCGAATATAACAGGCAATGATAACAGAGGAGCTATTTGTCAGCAGTCTCCTGTGAGCATTCCTGGTGAAGAGCCAATGGAAATAGAGGACTACCCTGTGGTAGCCCTCTGTCAGTCTGGTCCTATGGGTGCAGTTTTCGGTACCCAGGTCACAAACAATGCCGCACCAAAAGAGGAGGAAAACTGTTCAATATGTTTGGACAATTTCACAGATAAGACTGCTTTACCTAAATGTTCACATGAGTTTTGTAAGGAGTGTATAGAACAACAGTTTAAATATAAACCAGCATGTCCAATATGTGGAACTGTGTATGGTAAGATCCAAGGGACGCAGCCTCCAGGACACATGAACATTACACGCTTATCCACTGGTAACTTACCAGGATACGAACAGTATGGCATCATATCAGTGTCTTATTCATTTCCAAATGGAGTCCAAGGGGTAAGTTAAATTCTTATGTTCTTAGAATTCTTTTTGAGTATATTTTAGCTCTCACTTACTGTTTAACAGACTTGTGTAACATGCTCAAATACAAGCTACCTTTGCATATGACATGTTTTGTAATCATGAAACCCAATGTTTAATGATATCAACAGATTTCAATTTCAATAGTTGTCAAATACCTCAAAGGGCTAACTCGAAATGAACTACTATTTAATATTAACAGTCAAACCATTCACTGATTTCTGATATTCAGCTTTGGATGTGTAGCTTTTATCATTTAATGCTGATGTTTTTCACTTGTTTTTAAGTATTGATTTGATTTATGAAAACTCTAAACAAATGATATAAGAAAAGATTTATGTCAAATTCTCTTGTAGCCTGAACACCCCCACCCAGGGATAAGGTTCTCCGGAACAAGTCGAACAGGTTATTTCCCAGACTGTCCTGAAGGGGTTAAGGTTGTCCGATTACTCAAGATGGCATTTGACCGCCGTCTTGTCTTCACTGTAGGAAGGTCCAGGACGACAGGAGCTGACAATGTTGTAACTTGGAATGATATCCATCACAAAACATCGTTTACTGGTGGAGCTCAGAAGTAGGTATCAGACTGCTCTCTGAGCTAACATCAACATTGAATGGTCTGGTTTTAGCGATTTATGTAGATATAGTTAAAGGTTAAAGGTGGAGGTATAGAATCATGATCCATACAAAATGCAACAAAGAAAATTGATCAGGTATTTGTTTATTGTGTCTGCATGTAATAACAATACCGTCTTATTCATAACTATTAAAAAAATACTATAAGGATGCTATTACAAAAACACATTTTCTTCAAAGAATAGTATGTTTTACTTTGATCAACACTTTGGTTTTCACTAAGTTTACTTAATTCAGGTGAAATCAAGTACATTTTTACATTAGATATGTATCAGAAAATTATCATTCCTTCAACAATATATCAGGGACTTTTATTTATATCACAGCATAATGGAATGCAGATTGAATTTTTCTCACTCTCGTGTCACATTCTGTACACAATGTCAATGTAGGAGTTATTTCCCTTGCATTATATTCACTTTGTGTTACAGTTTTGGATACCCAGATCCTACTTACCTCGCAAGAGTTACAGAGGAGCTTGCAGCAAAGGGTGTAATAGAGGAGGACCTGGATCATACTACACTGAACATCATACACTGACTTAAGAAGACATATGTTAATTTGTAAGTGATAGATGAGCCAAATTGATTTTATATGAGAAAGACATTGGAAAAGTTGATTGCCTTAGCAGTTTAATGGAGTGAGAGTTGCTGAAATATTGCTTGTTACTCACCAGGAAAGGTCCAAGTACATATATGTATATAGTTACTGTGATAATATTATGCCATACATCCTGTTATACACAGAATCTTCACATAGTGACAGTCACATGTGATTATGTCTGTATTAGACAATGTAATGTTCCTCAGCTAATAGAAATATTTATATGAAAGTTATCATATTTTTTATAAGTAAGGAGACACACAACATGTTAGGTGCATGTACAGTTGTAGGTAATTTTATACCAACTGAATTGTAATAATGTGTCAGTTTATGATGTTTTTTCATCACAATTTGTATTAACTTATCAAATTGACAATAAACATGATCTGTATAGTGACTAAAGACAACACACAGCTGGGTGTGACTGTGTGCTGTGACCAATCACAGACAACACACAGCTGGGTGTGACTGTCTGCTGTAACCAATCACAGACAACACACAGCTGGGTGTGACTGTGTGCTGTGACCAATCACAGACAACACACAGCTGGGTGTGACTGTGTGCTGTGACCAATCACAGACAACACACAGCTGGGTGTGACTATGTGCTGTGACCAATCACAGACAACACACAGCTGGGTGTGACTGTGTGCTGTGACCAATCACAGACAATACACAGCTTGTTGTGACTGTGTGCTGTGACCAATCACAGACAATACACAGCTTGTTGTGACTGTGTGCTGTAACCAATCACAGACAACACACAGCTGGGTGTGACTGTCTGCTGTTACCAATCACAGACAATACACAGCTTGTTGTGACTGTGTGCTGTGACCAATCACAGACAACACACAGCTGGGTGTGACTGTCTGCTGTTACCAATTACAGACAACACACAGCTGGGTGTAACTGTTTGCTGTAACCAATTACAGACAACACACAGCTGGGTGTGACTGTCTGCTGTAACTAATCAAAGACAACACACAGCTGGGTGTGACTGTCTGCTGTTACCAATCACAGACAACAAACAGCTGGGTGTGACTGTCTGTTGTAACCAATCACAGACAACAAACAGCTGGGTGTGACTGTCTGCTGTAACCTATTACAGACAACAAACAGATGGTTGTGACTGTCTGCTGTTACTCATTGCAGACAACACACTGCTGGGAATGACTGTTTGCTGTTACTGATCATGGAAAACACAAAACTGTGTGTGACTCTCTGCTGTTACCCATTACAGACAACACACAGCTATGTGTGACAGTCAGCTGTTTTCAAATCACAGACAACACACAGCTGGGTGTGACGGTCTGCTGTAACCAATTACAGACAACACACAGCTGGGTGTGACTGTCTGCTGGTACGCCAATCACAGACAACACACAGCTGGGTGTGACTGTCTGCTGGTACACCAATCACAGACAACACACAGCTGGGTGTGACTGTGTGCTGTTACCAATCACAAACAACACCTAGGTGGGTGTGACTGTGTGCTGTTACCAATCACAAACAACACCTAGGTGGGTGTGACTGTGCTGTTACAAATTGCAGACAACACATATCTAGGTGTGACTGTGTGCTGTTTTCAAATCACAGACAACACACAGCTGGGTGTGGCTGTCTGCTGGTACACCAATCAAAGACAACACACAGCTGGATGTGAATTTGTGCTGTAACCAATCACAGACAACACACAGGTGGGTGTGACTTTGTGCTGTAACCAATCACAGACAACACACAGCTTGGTGTGACTGTCTGCAGTAACCAATCACAGACAACACACAGCTGGGTGTGACTGTCTGCAGTAACCAATCACAGACAACACACAGCTGGGTGTGACTGTCTGCTGTTACTAATCACAGACAACACAAAGCTCGGTGTGACTGTCTGCTGGTACACCAATCACAGACAACACCCAGGTGGGTGTGACTGTCTGCTGGTACACCAATCACAGACAACACACAGGTGGTGTGACTGTCTGCTGTTTCCAATCACAGACAACACACAACTGGAAATGACTGTTTGCTGTTACAGATCATGGAAAACACAAAGCTGTGTGTGACTGCCTGCTGTTACCGATTGCAGACAACACACAGCTGGAAATGACTGTCTGCTGTTACTTATCATGGACAACCCACAGCTTGATGTGACTATCTGTTGTTACCTATTACAGACAGGGCACAGGATGGTGTGAATGTCTGCTGTTATCAATTCTGTGCTGATTAAACTTTATTTTTTGTCATCATTGTCTTGTATTTTATATAATTCTATGAGGGATGCCTGTAACAGTGTAAAAGTGAAAGTTGTTGACAGAGAGTTGCCACATTTACAGGACTTGACAGTAAGTGGTAGTTGAGTCACCATAGGTTCAGGATGTGACAGTGGTAGTTGAGTCACCATAGGTACAGGATGTGACAGTGGTAGTTGAGTCACCATAGGTACAGGATGTGACAGTGGTAGTTGAGTCACCATAGGTACAGGATGTGACAGTGGTAGGTGTGTTACCATAGGTACATGATGTGACAGTGGTAGGTGAGTTACCATAGGTACATGATGTGACAGTGGTAGGTGAGTTCCATAGGTACAGGATGTAACAGTGGTAGGTGAGTTGCCATAGGTACAGGACATGACATTTGGAGGTGAGTTACCATAGGTACAGGATGTGACAGTGGTAGGTGAGTTACCATAGGTACATGATGTGACAGTGGTAGGTGAGTTACCATAGGAACCGGATGTAACAGTGGTAGGTGAGTTACCATATGTACAGGATGTTACATTTGGAGGTGAGTTACCATAGGTACAGGATGTGACAGTGGTAGGTGAGTTACCAGAGGTATATGATGTGTCAGTGGTAGGTGAGTTACCATAGGTACATGATGTGACAGTGATAGATGAGTCACCATAGGTACAGGATGTGACAGTGGTAGGTGAGTTACCATAGGTACATGATGTAACAGTGGTAGGTGAGTTACCATAGGTACAGGATGTGACATTTGGAGGTGAGTTACCATAGGTACAGGATGTGACAGTGGTAGGTGAGTTACCATAGGTACATGATTTGACAGTGGTAGGTGAGTTACCATAGGAACCGGATGTAACAGTGGTAGGTGAGTTACCATAGGTACAGGATGTTACATTTGGAGGTGAGTTACCATAGGTACAGGATGTGACAGTGGTAGGTGAGTTACCATAGGTACAGGATGTTACATTTGGAGGTGAGTTACCATAGGTACAGGATGTGACAGTGGTAGGTGAGTTACCATAGGTACAGGACATGACATTTGGAGGTGAGTTACCATAGGTACAGGATGTGACAGTGGTAGGTGAGTTACAATAGGTACATGATGTGACAGTGGTAGGTGAGTTACCATAGGAACCGGATGTAACAGTGGTAGGTGAGTTACCATAGGTACAGGATGTTACATTTGGAGGTGAGTTACCATAGGTACAGGATGTGACAGTGGTAGGTGAGTTACCATAGGTACATGATGTGACAGTGGTAGGTGAGTTCCATAGGTACAGGATGTAACAGTGGTAGGTGAGTTACCATAGGTACAGGACATGACATTTGGAGGTGAGTTACCATAGGTACAGGATGTGACAGTGGTAGGTGAGTTACCATAGGTACATGATGTGACAGTGGTAGGTGAGTTACCATAGGTACATGATGTGACAGTGGTAGGTGAGTTCCATAGGTACAGGATGTAACAGTGGTAGGTGAGTTAACATAGGTACAGAACATGACATTTGGAGGTGAGTTACCATAGGTACAGGATGTGACAGTGGTAGGTGAGTTACCATAGGTACATGATGTGACAGTGGTAGGTGAGTTACCATAGGAACCGGATGTAACAGTGGTAGGTGAGTTACCATATGTACAGGATGTTACATTTGGAGGTGAGTTACCATAGGTACAGGATGTGACAGTGGTAGGTGAGTTACCAGAGGTACATGATGTGTCAGTGGTAGGTGAGTTACCATAGGTACAGGATGTTACATTTGGAGGTGAATTACCATAGGTACAGGATGTGACAGTGGTAGGTGAGTTACCATAGGTACAGGACATGACATCTGGAGGTGAGTTACCATAGGTACAGGATGTGACAGTGGTAGGTGAGTTACAATAGGTACATGATGTGACAGTGGTAGGTGAGTTACCATAGGAACCGGATGTAACAGTGGTAGGTGAGTTACCATAGGTACAGGACATGACATTTGGAGGTGAGTTACCATAGGTACAGGATGTGACAGTGGTAGGTGAGTTACCATAGGTACATGATGTGACAGTGGTAGGTGAGTTCCATAGGTACAGGATGTAACAGTGGTAGGTGAGTTACCATAGGTACAGGACATGACATTTGGAGGTGAGTTACCATAGGTACAGGATGTGACAGTGGTAGGTGAGTTACCATAGGTACATGATGTGACAGTGGTAGGTGAGTTACCATAGGAACCGGATGTAACAGTGGTAGGTGAGTTACCATATGTACAGGATGTTACATTTGGAGGTGAGTTACCATAGGAACATGATGTGACAGTGGTAGGTGAGTTACCATAGGAACCGGATGTAACAGTGGTAGGTGAGTTACCATCGGTACAGGATGTTACATTTGGAGGTGAGTTACCATAGGTACAGGATGTGACAGTGGTAGGTGAGTTACCAGAGGTACATGATGTGTCAGTGAGAGGTGAGTTACCATAGGTACATGATGTGACAGTGGTAGGTGAGTTCCATAGGTACAGGATGTAACAGTGGTAGGTGAGTTACCATAGGTACAGGACATGACATTTGGAGGTGAGTTACCATAGGTACAGGATGTGACAGTGGTAGGTGAGTTACCATAGGTACATGATGTGACAGTGGTAGGTGAGTTACCATAGGTACATGATGTGACAGTGGTAGGTGAGTTCCATAGGTACAGGATGTAACAGTGGTAGGTGAGTTACCATAGGTACAGGACATGACATTTGGAGGTGAGTTACCATAGGTACAGGATGTGACAGTGGTAGGTGAGTTACCATAGGTACATGATGTGACAGTGGTAGGTGAGTTACCATAGGAACCGGATGTAACAGTGGTAGATGAGTTACCATTGGTACAGGATGTTACATTTGGAGGTGAGTTACCATAGGTACAGGATGTGACAGTGGTAGGTGAGTTACCATAGGTACATGATGTGACAGTGGTAGGTGAGTTACCATAGGAACCGGATGTAACAGTGGTAGATGAGTTGCCATAGGTATAGGATGTATCAGTGGTAGGTGAGTTACCATAGGTACATGATGTGACAGTGATAGATGAGTCACCATAGGTACAGGATGTGACAGTGGCAGGTGAGTTACCATAGGTACATGATGTGACAGTTGTAGGGGAGTCGCCATAGGTACATGATGTGACAGTTAGTGGTAGCTTTCTCATAGTTACATGATGTGACAGTGGTAGGTGAGCTACCATAGTTACAGGATGTGACAGTTTGTGGTAGGTGAATCACCATAGGTACAGGATGTGACAGTTGTAGTTGAGCTACCATAGTTATAGGATGTGACAGTTAGTGGTAGGTGAATCACCATAGTTACAGGATGTGACAGTTAGTGGTATTTTTGTCATAGATACCGGTAGTAACAATTATTGGTAGGCGAGTCACCATAGCGACGTGTAGAGTTACGTGGCTATGGGTACAGGATGTGGCAGTGCTAGGTCAGTGGCCACAGGTACAGGATGTGAAAAACGATCCTCGTATTAAATTTGGACGTATAAGTTGGAGTTACCTCCCATCATCCATTTAACACACATTAACAATGTATTTTCCAAAAGAAAGGCAAATATTGTCGGTCGCCATCTTACACCGACATCAAAATTAGCCTTATCATGAAAAAACATAATCACAAAGTTTGTTGTCTGTACAGCCATATCCGTGGGGACGATACACCCAGCGAACAGACGACTGTTTTGTATTTACAGAAATGTTAGGTCTTATACGATATAAGTCATACAATAAGTATACACTGATTAATATCAGCATCTCACATTCTTACTTAACAAATAGTTACACGTAAATAGGGTGTGTGATCGACGACGTAGTGTTGTTAATGTACGTATATCTATATACCTATCCCACAAAATTTCAGCCTGGTCTTTTGGTCTCAACAGCCTCTTTCTTAAGGACTGAATAATACATGTATATTCATCTATGTAAATCTTGGCTTCCATATTTCCTGTAAAGATAATAAAAACACGTGAATTTCTTATATAATATGTTTTTTTAGATACATAAATCATTACAGATATATTTACTGTGAAATGGAATTTGCACTCTATGTTGATACATAAAAAACATAGCCGCTCCTTTCTTTGTACATATATATATGTAAACATATAAGGCCAACAAGGCAAATAAACTTGATTATCGCTAACGTTTTCAAGCCGTGTCTCGGCTACCTTCAGGCGATTACTTTAATGTCTTGGTAACAACATTATGACGTAATATAAACAATAATGTCTTGGTAACAACATTATGACGTAATATAAACAATAATGTCTTGGTAACAACATTATGACGTAATATAAACAATAATGTCTTGGTAACAACATTATGACGTAATATAAACGATAATGTCTTGGTAACAACATTATGACGTAATACAAACAATAATGTCTTGGTAACAACATTATGACGTAATATAAACGATAATGTCTTGGTAACAACATTATGACGTAATACAAACAATAATGTCTTGGTAACAACATTATGACGTAATATAAACAATAATGTCTTGGTAACAACATTATGACGTAATATAAACGATAATGTCTTGGTAACAACATTATGACGTAATACAAACAATAATGTCTTGGTAACAACATTATGACGTAATATAAACAATAATGTCTTGGTAACAACATTATGACGTAATATAAACAATAATATATATTTATATAGGTGTCCTGCTTGATATTTATTTTTGAAAAACATCAAACTGATATATGTAATTTATTGTACAACAATTACGAAAGAATTGTTTTCATCATATATAACCACTCTTGTTGATCCTGATTGAGGCGCACGTGAGGGGTCTTACTGTGGGAGGAACCCGGGGTATCGGAGGATAGCTCAAGTGGCCAGGCAGGTGACCAATCACGTGGGTTTTACACGAGTACTCCGATTTCATAGCATAATTATATGTCACTGACAGATAATGAGGCCGACAGTATATCTCAAAGTGAACCCTTTAATTCAATTCAATTCCGTAAGTTATACAACTTACTTGATAAATAACAGTTAGAAGGGCAAAGACACCCACACCCTGAAGAATAAAGAACTACGAAATTTGTTATTTTCCTCTCATAAAATAAAATAGGAGCGGATAAACTAAAATTACTCCCATAGTTTAACATCATAGTTGAGTTTCAGACATGGCAAACTCATTTTCAATAGACTGCAGTGTAACGATAAAAAATCTCACATAATACTTGACCTCGGACTGATTAGATGGTTTAAAACCAGATTGTCGACAGATCCATTAAATAGCAAATGGTTCAGTTTACCGATTACAAACAATACTAGCAATGTTATATATACAAAGGTAGACAGGGGATGTACATTGCTAGCTTTATTACTTACCTAATAGATATAACGATTGATTTTATTAATGTTGGTTAAAAGATGTATGAAGGATAGAGATGTTGATAAGAAGAAACGTGCAATTACACCAGTAATTTATAATCCCAGTGTACTGAAAGGACTAATGCCTTAAACATATTGATCTATTATATTGATTAATGACCAGGAAATCACGATACTGGTATACCTGACTGGGGAAAAGATCAATAGATTAGCTGTACATCTCATTATTTGTATTATATCTGATGAATTATGATACAAATCTGCCACATGTCATATGTTTCACTTCGATGTTTGACAAGTCCTTCTTTAGGTTGAATATGTAGAGTTATCACTGTGATTCATTAAACACTCACTCACTTATGTCATTCTTCGCCTAATTGTGATAAACTTGCATAATTAGTTGGTAAATAAATGGATTAAAACTGGTCAATTTGTAGTCTTCGCAATGAAAAATCTGGTTAATTTTTAGTTTAGAAAAAACATGACAGATGATTGCAGTATTTACAAAGAACCTGTTATAGGAGTAAACCGGAAAGCGTATTGGCGTTGAATTATTTACAAACATACGAAATAGCACAATCGCTATAGATTTCCTTACTTACGTCAAGTTAATTGCGTAAATGAAATAAAAACCAAATATAAACAAACTAGTTAAACACTTTTCAGCAAAATAAACTTCACGTGGTCGATTGGTGAGGTGAGATACGACCATTGTTTGACTCGTCAACTCGATAACGATGTTCACGGTAATTATCAGTCGAGTAATTCACTAATTCCAAACAGGGACACGCGCTTCCCATACCGGACGGTGATTGGGTAATTAATTATCGAGGGTGTTAATTACTACCGGAAGGTGAGCAGTGGTCTGTTTTACAGGTATCTTGATCGTTACAATCACGTGAATGACGTTTACATCATCTTGTGAGTATTGTCAAACAGCCGAGTAGAATGTGTTTGTGACATATCATATATACAGGACACGCTCACCAATTATATATCGTGTCTGAAAGTAACTTTCCAAACAGAAAGTCACAGAAACAAACATAAGATTACTTTTCAAATTGACACTGAAGACATTTGCCACACCAGATACAGACATAAACTGCTGATTGAAAGGTTTGATTTTAAACATTTGAAGTAGTATTAGTGAGGCTACGAAGTGTTCAATATAGAAAATACTGAAAAAGACACAATTATAGCACAAGATGCTAAAGTTTGAACTCGCGAAAGTAAATTATAATAATTTTACAGAAGGACATAAGAAATATGACGTGAACACTTTATACCTGTCCAGCATTACGGCTTGGCATGTTCGTGTCTGAAATGGGCGTTGCTACTTTACCACTCCCACCTGGCCCTCCGAGCGGCCGACACGTTAGTTGTTTGGCACCTTTGATTGACCCAAACTGCCAGTTCCTTTCAGATGTGTAGAAACAACGTTTAGAAACAATCCTATAACGTTCCTTTAAGTCATCCCGCGTGGGTCTCTATGTCAGGTACACTCCGTCTATTGAAGATGTCACTTTGATTTTAAATGTTACATTCAGGCACTTTATTGACAATCATTCTCTGATCACAAGCTTAGCCTTACAGAACCTGGATTGCACTGGTTAACAAACGTTGGTATTTCAACATTTCTGTTGGTACATAGACTCACTTGTCAATATTTGATATCCAGGTTGGCAATCATATTTAGGAGAATGCCTTTTACTGTGTCTTGAAAGCAGCTGTTATACTTACAAACATGAAATCGACAAATTTACATTTAGATGTCACGATGATCTATATTTCTATCTACAGATGAGTTCACCTTTGACCTTAACCCCATGTCGCATCCTTGACTTTGATGCTGATGTGGTGACATGTCTGATGACACCGGAAGTGAAGAAGGACTTCCGTTGCCTTTTTGATGATGAGGATTCGGGTCTCGGTATGGACGATGGGGCGGTAAGTGACACAAAACGACAATAACAAGCATTTATCATAAAAAGTCTATCTTCGATGCTTTGAATAATGTCTGGAATGCTTGTATAACTTTGTAAATGTTTTTAAATTAACATAGGCATTGCTTCAAGCACAATCCTTCAAATTATGCATACTATGACACTTTTTTTTCTGTTTCTAAAAATTGAGGCTATATACTGTAAATAATTAAATGTGATATTTTTATATTTTCAGGTATCTCCAGAACGCCACACTTCGACAGAGTTATCACCCTTTAATTTGAAAACCATCCTGAACTTGACAGATTTCAGCAATGAAAAGGTGCACTGTGATGATTGTAGTTAAGTGGTGAACACAAAATTTCGAGTTTGGTTAGGACTTATTTAGTGAATTTTTTCGAATGTTTTCCGGAGGTATTGTCTCAAAATAATATCTAAAGTATTCGACAATAGCCACTGATACACCGGGAAGGAACCAAATCTACCAAGTTATCTAATTTGTATGGAGGGAAGTCTCTTCACTAGGTCCACGTTTGGTACTCGTGGCCTTCTGTTGCAGTGACAGAGTACTTTGTGGGTTGAAGTTGGTTTTGGCCAAGAGCATTTGCAAGGTCAGTAGTGTGGCTTGGTTAAAATTACAGTCACCTTCAAGCTTTAAGCACGAGCGGGGTGCGCGCATCTGCGATACTCCAGGGGTTACAATCACTTTGGCTGTGTAGAGTTGTAAATAATACTAGTGTATTATAATTCCAGGTAAAGAAGTCGCCACACCAAAAAAGAACGGAATTCACACGATCTTTGTTCTCATGCAAGCGTCAACGGGAGGAAGATGATGAGGATTCTGTTCCCTCATCCAAGTCACAGAGAAGAGGTGATGCTGTGTTCAGAAGGTCGCTGTCTTTTGAGGTAAGTTTGAACAAAACAATTATAGCATGTTTTTGTTATAAAAGATATCGTTGTGATCGTAAAATTATCAACCATTTCATTTTAAACATAAAATGTAAAATTTTATAAGAAAAAGTTGGTAAATCAATCAGGAAAATTACACACTTAACTAACATTGTCAATTATTACATCAATTAATATAGAGATATATCCAAGTTGTGATTTAGAAAAAAGAAAGGATGTTTGGTAGGAAATAACATTCTGCAATCCAAGGAAACGTTATTCAAACATGATATTGTGTTATGTGTTATTTTCAGAATATGTCTAAGACGTCATTTAAAACGAGGGTCATTGATGTTAAGGCAGCTGTTAACCGTTTTGTGGACGAGGAAGATTTGATAGGGGACGGGACCAACACGTGTTGTCTGCCGACCGTCAGGGGCAAGCACCAGGACCTCAAGTCTATCTCTTCAAACACGGTGCGTGGATGTACATCGTTTTATTACCTACATTTATTACCTGCTTGTTATTTTGTTTGCTTATTTTAATATTCATGTTTGATTGGTGTATGAAACGACAAACTTCCATTTAGGATGCACAAATCTTTATTTTCGCTGACGGAAAAGATATAGACCTGAGCAAGTTGGACTTTTTTTTCAAGATGGCCGCCCGACGAGGAGTTACGTTTTCTACATTGCTATACTTGAATTTCTTCATAAGTGTGATATAACTTTTGAATTTCACAAAGATGGTCTTTTAATTCACTTTTTCTGCATATACGTCTGAATTTTTACTCATTAGGAAAACTAACTCCTCGTCGGGCGGCTATCTTGAAAAAAAAATAGTCCAACTTGCTCAGTGGCATGACGTTATTTATAAATGTTAAGATGAAGTTAACCATGTCCTGCTAATGGACGTAAAGTCCATTAAATAAGAAATCAAATACTAACAAGGAGGGAAAACATAGTGATAATATCTAAGTACATTGTTTATCTGATTATAATTAAATCCATTATGATGTTAATATTGTATATTATTTTTGTCAGATGGTTGATATTTTGACTGGAGCATACGATGATGTTGTCGGGAGTTACCGCATCATTGACTGCAGATATCCGTACGAATTCCAAGGAGGTCATATCAAGGTTGGTATGGAGTAATACTTTCCAATGAAACAGTTAGAGTAATAGTAAAATAATAATTTTAAAAAAATGTGATTTTTTCAACGATTTTATTTATTTGTTACAGCACGCGGAGAACAAGTACACGCGTGACCAGGTACAGCAGCTGCTTCACGAGATACAGAGTTGTGACGTCATAGGAAAGAGAAACATTCTCATCTTCCATTGTGAATTTTCTTCTGAGAGAGGCCCGAAAATGTAAGCTTATTAGATACTAGCTGAAATAAGAGACAGTGACGTCAGAGTTTGTTGTAAGATAAAGAATGTATTAAATGAAGTATATCAGGCGTTCATTCACAGGAAATTGGAGAAAACTTGACATGATTGAAATTTACTCGCTATAAAGTACCGCGTTGTTTTCGAACTTTTTACTAAAGCTCAGAAGTGTAAAAAAATCTGCATTAACTAACCTGTTATTAATATGGTGTGTGTATGTCAACAATCTTCTCTTACCAGGATGCGTTTCCTCAGGACCCAAGACCGTGCCCAGAACGAGGCTAACTATCCGGCCTTGACCTACCCCGAGGTGTACCTCCTTGACGGCGGCTACAAGGCGTTCTACAACACTGAACATGTGAGTAATTAAGTTTTATTACTGAAGTTTTGATTCAAAAGCATTTGATGCTTTATCTTTATATCTGGGTACCGGGTGGAAATAGATATCATTTGATATTGTGTGACGTTTCTCTTGTTGCCTATACGTTTTACTTCTTGTGATCTGAGTCGTTTCGACTTCCGAGTCAAGTAAATAAGATAGCCACATCGTGCCAAAAAACACCTTTGCGATATTACAGTAACACATTTTTATCTTCTATTTTCAGACTTTGTGCCAGCCTATGGAGTACAAACCAATGCTTCATCAAGGTCATTCTGATGAATTACGTCACTTTCGGGCACGCTCCAGATCGTGGACAGCAGGCGAAAAGCAGAAGAAAACGGTATCCCGACTTCGTTTCTGAGCAATGCATGGTGTACAAACATGAAACCTAATTTTTAATTTGCGTAGATGGTTAAATGGACATCAGTAATTGATTGGACTTGTCAACAACACTAAGATTGCTGAAACGGAAATGAAAGGGGTTTGATGCGTAAAATGTGTGTAAAGTAATATAAGGCGCGTAGGTTCACGTGCGAGTGCTATACACCAGTAGTGCTATATATATATGTAACTGTCAAGTGTGCATGATGTTGTATATATTATCGCAACTTGACTGATGATAATTGTCGTATCCTGGGATATTTTTACAACTAATAAACTAATTATATCATCCAGATAACTATTGTTTTTATTCGTACATGTAGAACCACCGCTACAGACTATTTGTTACCTTCGTGTTCGCCAATATACCATGACTATGGCAAATCTCACAATATTACGTTGTCAATAAATGGACATTTCTACAGGTGCTGTCCTACTTTAGTGCTTATAAAATACCATCCTATCGCCCAGTCACAACCAGATACCTATATAATACCATCCTATCACTCAGTCACAACCAGATACCTATATAATACCATCCTATCACCCAGTCACAACCAGATACCTATATCATACCATCCTATCACCCAGTCACAACCAGATACCTATATAATACCATCCTATCGCCCAGTCACAACCAGACACCAGTAATATACCATCCTATCACCCAATCACAACCAGATACCTATAAAATACCATCCTATCACCCAGTCACAACCAGATACCTATAAAATACCATCCTATCACCCAGTCACAACCAGATACCTATAAAATACCATCCTATCACCCAGTCACAACCAGATACCTATAAAATACCATCCTATCTCCCGGTTACTTCCTGATGCCTATTAAATACCATCCTATCACCCAGTCACAACCAGATACCTATAAAATACCATCCTATCACCCAGTCACAACCAGATACCTATATAATACCATCCTATCACTCAGTCACAACCAGATACCTATAAAATACCATCCTATCACCCGGTTACTTCCTGATGCCTATTAAATACCATCCTATCACCCAGTCACAACCAGACACCTATAAAATACCATCCTATCACCCAGTCACAACCAGATACCTATAAAATACCATCCTATCACCCAGTCACAACCAGACACCAGTAATATACCATCCTATCACCCAGTCACAACCAGATACCTATAAAATACCATCCTTTCACCCAGTCTCAACCTGATATCTATAAAATACCATCCTTTCACACAGTCACAACCATATACCTATAAAATACCATCCTATCACCCAGTCACAACCTGACACCTATAAAATACCATCCTATCGCCCAGTCACAACCTGACGTATACAATACCATCCTATCACCCAGTCACAACCAGACATCTATAAAATACCATCCTATCACCCAGTCACAGCCAGACACCTATAAAATATCGTCCTATCACACAGTCACAATCAGACACCCGTAAAATACCATCCTATCACCCAGTCACAACCTGACACCTATAAAATACCATCCTATCGCCCAGTCACAACCTGACGTATACAATACCATCCTATCACCCAGTCACAACCAGACATCTATAAAATACCATCCTATCACCCAGTCACAGCCAGACACCTATAAAATATCGTCCTATCACACAGTCACAATCAGACACCCGTAAAATACCATCCTATCACCCAGTTACAACCAGATACCTATAAAATACCATCCTATCACCCAGTCACAACATGATACCTATATAATACCATCCTATCACCCAGTCACAATCAGACACCTATAAAATACCATCCTATCACCCAATCACAATCAGACACCTATAAAATACCATCCTATCACCCAGTCACAACCAGATACCTATATAATACCATCCTATCACCTAGTCACAACCAGACACCAGCAATATACCATTCTATCACCAAGTCACAACCAGATACATAAAATACCATCCTATCACCCAGTCACAACCAGATACCTATAAAATATCATCCTATCACCCAATCACAATTAGACACCTATAAAATACCATCCTATCACCCAGTCACAACCAGATACCTATAAAATATCATCCTATCACCCGGTTACTTCCTGATGCCTATTAAATACCATCCTATCGCCCAGTCACAACCAGATACCTATAAAATACCATCCTATCACCCAGTCACAACCAGACACTAGTAATATACCATCTTATCACCCAGTCACAACCAGACACCCGTAAAATACCACCCTATCACACAGTCACAACCAGACACCTATACAATACCATCCTATCACCCAGTCACAACCAGACACCTATACAATACCATCCTGTCGCCCAGTCACAACCAGATACCTATAATATACCTTCCTATCACCCAGTCAAAACCAGATACCTATAAAATACCATCAGTAGTAAGAAATTGCCGGTATGAGCGCATTTTCAAATTAGGGTTGAAAACCAACCACTTACACATCTGACTCAACAAGCTCAAAACCAACCACAACAATGTTTAAACATGGTCTAAATGACGTTTCTAAAAATGACTTAAAGAAAAAACATTCTATAATGTAACGACTCGACTATCTCCTTATTGCTGACCCATGAATTGAACGTCTCTGGATAACCCTTCCACTTGACCAGCGACCTCGTTTTACCCTTCTTGACGACTTTTTCTATCCTGTATACCTCTTGGCTCGTCTTCTGCAACTCGGGTTCGTAGAAGGTACCCCGAATTTCTTCTCCGTTTTGGTCGCTAATCTTATACGTAATCAAAGATTGTAAAGTCCCAACAGATGTATCAGTACTGTTATCCGGATTTACTATTCTATTCTCATTATCCCACATTGAACATTGATTACCGTATTTTCCGTGAATAACTAAGTATTCTTTACCGACGGTAGCTGTTGGCGGAAATTTTAGCACAACGTTTCCGCTGGTGGTATCTGCTAGAATAATATGATACGTATCATCCAGATTATAAAAACCTGCTGTAACGAGGGTGGTTACGGGTGTAGGGTTAACAATTTGACCATCGACATAATTCTTAGTAGAGACGTCTTGCGCGTTCACGGGATCCGACACGTTCGTTAACGTATTTCCCGCCATATCGATGGAACCAGTTACGGTAGCCCCATTCTTTCGTAGAAAATTCTTATTGACGTACGACAGAGACACACCGGGTTCTGGTGGTGGGATGTTGTACTCCAAATTTGTGAACAGGCATTCTTTTATTTATATGTATATTTTTATAAATTAATTTCTAATAGAAGTGAAATAATAGCTCCGGTAATTTTTGTTGTTGTTACGTTGGTTACAAAGTTGAGCACATCACCTACATTTAAACTGATTCATCTCACATCCGAAACGTGATTAAATTCTCCTTGTGGCTTTAAAATTTTACATTGAGTTTTACTACCATTAACCACGAGGACTACACCAGCCTCTTCGGGAGTGGATTCTGGTGTTGTAACCGACATACCTATTTTCAAAACTTTAGATGGTGCTAGCACGGCATAGCGAGCGTTTTTACCTGTTGCACCATCACCGAACGAGTATTCGTACTTCCCTTTCACCAGTCCACCTTTTTCTTCAGCCCAGATAGTTATATATTTTTTATTCTTTCTTCTTTGTAATTTTTGTGTATTCATTAATAGCTGAGAATACTTGACTCTTAGATCCTGGATATCCATCTCTAATTTAGTCACATCAGCTTTTCTTTGGAAATTCTTATTGACGTACGACAGAAACACACCGGGTTCTGGTGGTGGGATGTTGTACTCTGACGTCATATATCCAAATTTGTGAATAGGCATGTTTTTTTTAATATATATATATATTTTATAAATCAATACAATCCGTTTATGATCTCTTGAAGCTCTCTCCCCGCGCTCATCTCTTTTAGAACGTATAAACACAAATGACCGCAAAATACCTGATCGGCTGGCTGAACCTGCTCTGTATTGTACAAGATCCCTCGCTTCAAATAGGATATCAACTCATTCGGAGGTTGTATGCCATAGCTATCGAAATAGTATTTATTTTTTCCTTGTTTGTACCAGGCGGTCCAGTGCGTTCCTCCTCCGTCACTAGAATCTAAATTCAGAATCCCACATTCATTTCTCTTTGGTCTCTTCGGAAGTGTATCGCGCAGAAATACTCCTCTAAAGTTTGGTATTTTCAATTCATCTGCAGCCCTCGTTAACTCGATATTACTTAGCGGTTTATTTGGCAGAACGACTTTTCCCACTGAAATGTTCATTTATATATATATATCTATTAAAGTTTAAAGTGTCCGTGGGCTAGTGTGCGCATCCCATCCTGGAGGATGATTCGCTTGTCGTCATTTGCCGAAAGAACTATTTTGTTAATTTCACATCATGACAGTGGCTCCTGATGACGTTCATCTTTCTCAACTGATCCTCACCCGTAAACAAACATTTCTTGTAATCCTAAAACGGAATACTCTTTCTGACAACGGACCTTTTCACCCCCTTACACTTCTTCTCCACATACCCCTCAAGCAACTTTTAACTGTACAACTTAGCTCTCAACCCCACGAATTCTCGGATGATCTTACCTCCTGCCTCGTCCTTGAACATCCCCACCACTTTCTTGTTACGACCGACTTCGATGCCCGATGGGTGATCCTTTGGGAAGTTGCTGGTGTCAAACTTGGCTGCCACATCACCAGAGATGTCCTTGTAAATGTCTTCCGTCTGGATTTCGTATGCCAAGGAAATCGATATCGGTAAACAGGAGTTTTGCCTTTTCTCCGTACTTCGTCTTCATGTAGTTGTAATGGAAGTCGTACATCAACGTCTTGCTCAGATCGAGGATGCACATCCCGAGATAAACGGGCTTGTTGAACTTCAGTTTCGTCTTTTTCATATGTACGGCAACCAGGTTCTCGTCGAAGATGGTGCAATGTTTAAAATTGGGTTTTGCTGCCAACTTCTTCGCTTTTGTCTCGTCGTTGACTAGTCGGATATCCACTCGGCTCCTAATGTTCTCCATAGTCTTTCCGAAAACAGTTGTTCATTAGCTTGAAAAAGTCCTTTTCAAACTCATTGTTTGCCTCTGCTCGGAGATTGGTGTTCAGGTCGATGTATTGCTTCAACCATGCACTTTCCTCGAACCTGATGCTCCTGTGGATCTTTGTAATCTTCATTCCCAAGCCCTCGTATAATTTGAGGTTCTCGTAGTGAATGACATAGTTAGTTTTGTCATTGAGATTGGGAATAAGCTTTTCCACATTATGGACTTTGAGACTTTCTGGAGCGAGCGGATAGTCATTGTGGAGATCATGCAGATCCTTTGGATATTCAAGGTCAACCTCCAGTATACAGCTGTGGTTCTTCCAAGAGTCCAGTTCACTGTCTGTCATCCACCCGAATCCGTGTGTAGGGAGCGGTTTGCTCATGGCCCAACCATAGAGATTGTTGGCATCCAAATAGGCAATATACTTCGCAGGATCATGGGGGTTAAATGTTTCACCCATGTATGGGTTGTTTGCTTTGCCATATCTGTTGCTGATCATCGATATCCCGCCTCTGATACCTTTCTCCACCATGAGCAACATGTCTGGATCTGATAACAGCTCCAACTTCACTTCGGTGATTTTCAAGGGCAGCGTCCCATGCTAGTCCAGGCGCTGTATAATACCAGGCAGGGTCAAGATCGTAGTTCTTGATGCAGACGTCTCTAAAGTTCTCAAAGACATCTGCCAAGAGCAACACGTCCGACTGATTGTACAGTTCGTGGTAGTCCCTGAGTGACTTCATGCCAAACTCTTTCCACACAGTTTGTGCATGCTCATAGTCATCGTCACTAATCTCTTCTCCACTGAGTCTGGAGTAGAACGCTACTTTTCGTGGAAGGGCTGTTTCATCTAGTCTTTTGAGTGAATCCATATATTCATATGGGTAGACACCCTTTTATCATTAGTAAGTCTAGATGTTTTCCGTTATAGTACTTCGAAGTGTTAGTGAAGCAGTCGTGATCCAGATTACCGGACAGCTTATCCAGGCTAGAGGCCATGAACTTGAAGCTGTCGATGAATCTGAGTTGGTGCTTCACATCCTTCTCTTTCCCGTCCTTGCCAGTATAAGAACCGACAACAACCTCCTTGGTGAAGCTGATGTACTTTTCCTCGTTGTTCGGGATGCAGTTGATGTTCCCCTCAGTTTTACCGAGGTTCTTGACGAACAGATGACTGTCATAGCCGCTCAGATTGTGGAACACCACGGGAGTGAACTTCGGCTTCTTGTACTGCAAGTTACAACTATTGTGAGCTGCACCTCGGTATTTCCCAGTAAAGTGACAGTGATCTCTCACCTTCTTGTCATCCTTACTGAACTCACCTTGGCAGATCCAGCACTTTGTCGCCTTTTGGAATTGTTTGCGGTCATTTTCCCCAAAAATAATTGGTTTCGCCGGAATTTTGCCAATTTCTTTGATGTCTTTCTCCAACATTTCTACGAATATTTGGGAGACATCTTCGTCGTCAGTTTTCGCGGTGTAGGTAACCGGATCTTTAGAGAAGACACCATCATTAAAGCATTTGATGTAGTAACAAAAGCTCGATGGGGTGTGTTTCTGGTATTTCTTCGTGTAGCTCTTTCCCGGACACGGTATCTACGGGTTTGATGAAAAATTCAAAGTCAGCATACACTGTGAACGGCACTCTCATGGACTTGTGTATGTGCCCAAACGAAATGGTCGAGCCCTCTTCTGGCATCTCTATTTTGACGGCCTCGTTTGAATAACAGTATTCCATGTGCTTATTCAAAGATTCCTGTGAGTAGAAGGGGTTCAAACATCTGAGACAGTAATAATTTTTGTGTTGGTGGTTTCAGGTTTGGCTGGACAACAAACGGCTCTTAAGACTAACTGTGTAATCAATACCGTCCATGTTGAGTTTTTCTGCTTGCATTCTGAGCATCTTAGTTATGCGGCAAGCATCACGTTCTACGGGATGTAATGCTCGAGCCAGTGCCCAGAGGAAGCATCTGTTGTCATCATTTTTGACATTGATCACTCCCTTCTTAGGATGTGCAAGGGCCTCCGGAGTAGGGATGTAAGAGCTCCCCCTCAACGGTTCATAAGCAACTGTATGAATTTCAATGACAATGATAGATTTAAATGTCCAGTTGCTGCCTCGCAACTGGAATGTCGCCATGGCCTCCATGACTCTATCTACCATTGCATCATACAGCTCATCTACATCTGTTCCCTCGAGGTTAATCTCGACATTAAAGTGAAAGGCTGCAGACTCTACGATTGTTTCCGAGGCACTAACAAGGTTCACTTTTTCCATGTTACATCTAAGAATTAGCTTTACCTTAGTGCCTCGGATTCCTCTCAAGAGGTTAACTACATTTTGTCGGGCTGTGTTGAGAAACGATTGAGCATCAAACCCCTCTCTGCCATCTATGGTATATTGAGTCGTAAATTTCCTCAGAGCAAATCTTGTCTCTCTGATTTCAAACATCTGCTGCTTTCTGAATAAAGCATCTACTTTTTCCTTCAAGGCTTTTAATTTCGATGGGGCCTTCTTAACAACTTCTCTGTCTACATCATGCAGCCATTCAACCCAATCTACAGCAGCTTTGATCGATTTATTTACTTTTTGTTTAACCTTGTCCCTGGTTGTAGGGATAAGGACAGGTTGAAGAGTCGGCACATTGATGCTAGGTACATCTGCATCTAAGAAATTTTGATCTGGAGGATTCCTCTGTGGGATAAAAGCCGATGCCAGTCGTCTTGCTCCTCTAGCAATATTTGTTGCAGCATTCATAGCCGCATTACTAATTCTTCTGAAAAGACTCATTGTTTTTATTATATATAGATTTTTTTTTCTATAAGCCATTTTCAAAAAAAGTATTATTTTTTCATGAATGTTGTATATGTTAACCCACATACAACATTGTTTTTGCTTACATCTTGCTAATTCCTCTGGGGTCACCCACTTTAATCTCATACTTGTTTTTCCACACCCTTCCATCCCAAAAGGTTATTATCCTCGAGGATTTGTCTATGAATTGAGATGCCTTATAAATGGATGGAAATGTAATCTCCTCTCCAGTATTAACATCCCTCAACACAACAGGTTTGGGGTTATTTCTAACTGCCATTGGATCTACCTCTTTCTTTGTCTTCACTGGTTTGGGTGGTTCCTCTGGTATTAATTCCTTTCCTTTCAACAGCTCGATCAGCCGCTTCTTGCCGCAATGAGAATAACCTTTGATTTTATTCTCACGAAAAATTGTTTTCAATTCAGACAGTTTCAACATTGTTTTTTTATTATAGATTTTTATTTTCTTAAAGTCATTTTCAAGAAATGTAGAAATCTAGCTATATACAACGTTTACCTTCTTCCCATCGGTCTTGAAGTTTATCATCTTGTCACTAATCACAACAGCAAATGCTTCGGTACCCGCTGGCACGTTGGCATTAAACTGCATTTTTATTTGGATGTCAGTGACTGCGGTCTTCAGTCGCTCACTCTGCTTGCTGACGTCGAACACAAACAGTGGGAAAAGAGTCTTGTAATCGGCGGGGGTGATGTTGGGGTTTGACACCAACTCGTCCATGTTGTAAAACTTGGACCTGAAGGCTGCTGCATCACCGTACGCCCGACTGAATTGCTGTTTGGGAAAGGAGAGGTTGTAGTCAACTGCGGGGTATCTAGCCGAGTTTAGCATGACAAATATATTCCTCACATTGACGTTGTCAAAGATGGAAGGATTCTGCTCTTGGTCACCGTCTTTGTCAGTTTGGAAACCGACAATGATATAGCGCGGTCTTTCAGGCGCTGATTTGACAGATAGTCTCCAGGTGAAGCTAGTTGACTGTGTTACGGAGATGGAATCACATTGCCTGATCCTGTATATTACGGGTAGAAGCGCATTTGAATCGAGTGTCTTGTAAAGCTGAAAATTTTCAGCATCTGCGGGTAGTACATGAGGCATAAACCACGACACCTTTTCGAGGGTAATTTTCCCATCATCAACATTTGCATTCCTGAAGATCGCATCGTTGTCCGTTTTCCGCACCAGAGTCAGGGTTTGTTTCATACCATACACAATTTTGTCATAGTCTTCGCAAAATCCAAAGATGTGCTTGAGTGGTACTCTGAAACTAAATGTGCCCTTTGGATCAGGAGATTTGATTATATAGGATTGGCGAACGCTAAATCCGGCATTGCCTGCTGCTGCAGCTGCAGATGCTGCAGCTGATGTGTCCTTGTACCACAATTGATTCAAACCCTGCGACTTGGAGAAGTCATCTGGATATTTCAACAGACCAAGCATCGTTGTACCCTGTCCTGGATGAAAGAGAGATTCAATCTCCTGTCCTGAAAGCTGGTACTTGATGTTGCTGAAAAGATACATGAGAGCATTATTCGTCAGTGTAACGTTATCATCGTTTGCGTAAGCGGTCCCGTCAGTTTTTGTCAGACGCCCTTCGATGATCAGATAGCTCTCGCTTGGGTGAGTAAACAGATCTTGTGTTTCAATATTGATCCTGAGCTCACCTGGGTTATTGAGATTCGTACCGGTAATCGGATCGTACTCATGGTGTTCGTATTCTTCGATGCTCTCATCCTTCATGGGAGCCTCAGTAAAATTTAGAATGTTCATCATATTTTATTTTTTCATTAGCAAGAGAAATTTTTTTAATATCATTTTACAGATATAAAAATTTTTACAGAACCCACAAATGGGCGAGCGCCCTTCATTATTAACATATTACTATATTTTCCAATACATTGCACAAATTTTGTTTTCGTAGACAAGCTTTATCTTGCCTAAACCACCGTTATAAAGATAATCATTTTTTATATCATTTGATGCCCATTTACATCTTCACAAATCCACACCCTTCAAGGCTGATCCTTGCATGACAAAAAATGCATGAATCGCGTGTTTGGTAATCATGACGCTTGAATTCGATAGCCATTTTTTTTATTATAGATTTCATTTTTCTTTAAGTCAATTTTAGACCAGATCCTTGATTCAATCTTTTGACGAGGTCTTGAATCGCAATCGCTTTCATTTTTGTTGTTTTCCTCTGTTGCTGCATTTCGCTGCCATATATTAGTGAATGGATATTCTGATCAACTGGGAATGACTGCTTCGCCGGTGTACCAGCATGCTTTTGTAGAATTGCTCGAGATTTGGGTGTAAGAGCTTTACGTGCGAGACCGCGCACTCCTTTCTCAAGGAACTTCTTTCCAGCATCAAGAGCTGCAGTCTTTCCAGCATCAATAGCTTTCTTCCCAACTTCCCTAGCAACGCTTTTACCAGCATCTAGAGCGGTAGAGGCAATCTGTTTCGCAGCATTACTAGTAAATAATCTAGTGAAAAAACTCGCGATGCTATCAAACATTCCAGCACCGCCATACACATAGATTTTTTTAAATCCATGATTCTTTGGGATGAACATATTTTTTTATAGTCTAGATATTATTTTTTTATATGCATTGACGTCCAGCACCTTTTGTCTTTTTAGTTCATCGCAAATCGATACAAGCTCGTTCCGAACGCCTGTGTTACCCGCTGCCTTGCTTGCCATCAGCAGGTCTAGTCTTTCGAGCAATGCATTAGGATCGCTAGGAATGACAACAGATGTGCCGCTCCCTTCGTAATAATCCCTATTAGTCAAATGGTTCTAAGCACATTCTTCCATTTCAACCCCTTGCTGGACTTTGGTCTGTTACTCTCTGGATCGTTGCCTTTTTTGAGAGCGTTCGATTCAATCATCATCTTCGCGTAATTTTCGTAGTCCTGGTCGGTGTATATTTGATCGTCTGGATTCTTGGTTACGATGAGTTCCCACAATCCCGGTGTTCCTTGGTACTCTTCACCATCCACTACTATGTTATCATCTACAAAGGCGACGGGCTTATTGCCTATATAAAAATTGCCGTTCTTATCGTATAGCCCGTACGTTCTATCAGCCTCGGATTTGGAAGCGAACTTCCTTAAATATTTGCGCGCGATTGGTCCGATAAACTTCGTATCAGTATCTTCCTTTTGTTGTTGAAACCCCTCTATAGATGGAAACGCTGGAAATGTGATTTTCTTCAATTCCGATATGTTTTCTTTGATGGGTCTAATATCAGACCTTATGTCTTCTGCCGTACTTTTTTGTACGTCCGTTATAGGCTTGAATATTTTACCGAGATCTGTTTGTAACTCTCGTTCACCAGTCCGTCTCTCTATCTCTCTGTTTTGGAGCCTCTTTTTCAGTTCGAGAAACTCTTTTACGATTAAATCCCTTTTCTCGGGATCTGTAAACTTTAGAAATGACATTTTTTTGTTTCTAAAGATAATATTTTTTTTTATCTCGATTTTCATCTCACTTCACTTTTCATCTCGATTTTCATCTCGATTTTCATCTCACTTTTCATCTCTCATCTCACTTTTCATCTCACTTTTCATCTCGATTTTCATCTCGATTTTCATCTCACTTTTTCTCGAACAACTTGTGGAAGTACTCGCGGGTTTCCTGCCTTCCCTGTTCGATCAGGGATTGCTGTAGGCCGTAGTCCATGTGCTTCTTGGAAACCTTTCTTATTTCTTCCTTCATCTCGCGGTACTTGTCCAACTCTGCTAGTATGAGTTGAAACTCCTCATCACTTACTGCATTATCGGCTAGCGCCTTCGAGATGTACGACGATATCGTGTTCAGTTTTGCTTGTGCCAAAACCTTGATCTTTTCGTGCTTTTCGGCTTTGGCCGCACACTTCCTATTCACATATTTTCCGACGATACTCAGAGCTCCGGTAGCAAGCGCAACGCCCTCCATCACGACAACAATCGGTGCTGCTACTACCGTAGATAAAAGGCTAACACCACCGATGCCAAGCCCCATGGTGACGCCGATAAGACCAACATCGACATTATCCACTATCTTCACGGCTCTGTGGTACTTCTTGCTGAGGGTCTCACGCTTTTCTCTTCTTCCTCGAGAATCCTCTGAATCTCGTTAATTTTCTGTAAACGATAACCTTGTCCCTCATCTTCAGGGGAGCTGTTGGCAACTTTGGATAAAGCGCCATATCATTATTCACTTTGTTGATTTCCATATTTTTATATGTGTGAGATTTTTTTTTATGTCATATAATGTATGAGACATAGAGGCTCGTTTTCCTCAATAACAACAACCCCGTTCGAATTGTTCGCGATGTTTATCACCACATCATCAACACTTTCGAGAATGGCTTCATTTTGTATACTGCATTGCCTCATTTTAAGGCTTTGCTTTAGTGTCGTTAAAACCATACCACTAGTCATCCTCAATCCAAACCTTAATCTAATCGTTTTATTTTCTTTTGGTCCGATGGTAAGTTTATTTTGATTGAAAATTTCCCACGTTACTGGTTGCACCTTCTGTGGAGGATGTTTTACATCCATTACCGGTATCCAGTAAATCGTCTTCGGCTGTCTTGGCAAGTTATACCAATTTTTCGGTTTTACAATATTTGTGAACAGGCATTCTTTTTTTAATATATATATATATTTTTTAATATATATATATATATATGTTCATGACCACGTATGCATGAAACACTCATAATATTGCACCGAGGATCGGAATGTTGTTGAATGGGCTGTTAGGTCCCAGGATAAGACCCTTCCCATTATACCATCTCCTTTCTTTATTTATATAAAGTCCATCACCAACGGCTTCTAGACCCGAACCGGTCGCGGGTCCTAAATAAAGTCCTTTTCCGTCTGTCTCTATCTGGCAAACACAACCTCCTTTCTTGAGATACAACCCGTTCCCAACCACCTTTTGCACTCCCGAACTAGTCAAACCAGAAAGAGCGCCAATGCCTAATGCTGGAAGTACCGTCTTTGCCAAAACAGGCAATGCACGCGCTGCCAAACCAGCAAGCATCCCAAGGAAACCGCCCTCAACTTTCATATTGTGTTTGAGTTGAGCTTTACTCATTTTGATGGTTATTCCTTTACCACCTTCATAGGCTTTGGCTAATCTCTTCACTTGTCTGTCTGTCAGTGCTAAGACATCTTCACCGTTCAAATCTTCGTGAGCAAAACGGACACTGACAGGACAACCGTTTTGAAGGGCCTCTCGTAATTTTTGTTTCTGCCTTTCTGAAACATTCAATTTAATATTCGTATATCGTGACATTTTATATATACGAATATTTTTTTATTACACTTGTCTGATGTGAAACCTCAATGATAAATTATCTCCTCTTAAATTTAGCAGCGTGCCATTTTGGTCGGTGAGTGAAGTCTCAAGACTGTGTATGGTGTCTAGTGTCACGGGAAGATACACCAAATTTCGTGGTGTTTCAACTATTTTATGTCCAGGGGTGACATTTGGAAAGAAGGAGTATATCGTGTGTTGTGAAGCTCCATTAACGTAGCTCCCTGAGATATTGTCAACATTAACATGCAAGCTGACAATACTAAGAATGTTGACGACATTTTCAGACTCCTGAAATCCTAGTGCGTAAATGTCGTGGTTAAATCCTAACACACTGGAAATGGAGTTGGGATGCCTAAAGTCTATTTGGTAATTATTATCTAAAATAAGGACAGTCTTTAGTGTGTTCGTGTTTGCAGAAATTGTAACGTAATATTCCTCATTGACACTGCCATAGTGTCCATTCTGCCTCATCTTTTGTTGAATTGTGTCGTTAATGTCATCGATGTTATAGATACCTTCTGGTAAATAAATTTCGAACCATGTTGTTCCGCCATCGGGCGAGTATCTAAAATAATTATTACTCGCATCAATGTTAGGAAAAGAGTAGTAAGTCTCGAGATTGACGAGTGCCATCTCGTGCTTTTTCTTTTTGTCGAGTTGAATTGGTGGATTGAACCTAGTTCTAAATCTTGTCTTGTTGCTATTCAGGACAATCTGAAACGAGGTTTTAGGCTCAGTGTTTTCAGCTATTTTTTCAAGTATTGATTCCATTTTTTTATATAATATAATATTTTTTTTAACTCGGAATATAAAATGTATCAAATCCACTTCTGTACTTACCGTTCTGCCTGTTACTGGTCAGGTCGATCACTACGAACCCATGTGGTTTTTCCC